GTATGTATGTATGTATGTATGTATGTATGTATGTATGTATGTATGTATGTATGTATGTATGTAATGTATGTATGTATGTATGTATGTATGTATGTATGTATGTATGTATGTATGTAATGTAATGTAATGTAATGTAATGTAATGTAATGTAATGTAATGTAATGTAATGTATGTAATGTAATGTAATGTAATGTAATGTATGTATGTATGTATGTATGTATGTATGTATGTATGTATGTAATGTATGTAATGTAATGTATGTAATGTAATGTAATGTAATGTAATGTAATGTAATGTAATGTAATGTAATGTAATGTAATGTAATGTAATGTAATGTAATGTAATGTAATGTAATGTAATGTAATGTAATGTAATGTAATGTAATGTAATGTAATGTAATGTAATGTATGTATGGTCAATTTTTTGACGAGCTCAACCGTGCTCACCCGGGAAGGTCCTCTATGGGGGGGGGCGTGCCTTGAGCTCGGTTTGCCTTTTCCACTGATTGTGGGATAAATGAGCAGCCCCCCTCCTAGTGTAGAAGATTGTTTCAAGGGAGGCTGTTCATTTCAGTGGAAAAGGCAAACCCTGCCCCCAAACATCAGAGTAAATGCGGGGAATCCTGTGAATCCTATGTGTTGAACAAGGCGTAACTGTCATATTTCCGGTTCGGCGCATTTTCGTTGGCCCAGCCATCCGCTCTCGTCGGTCTTTTTCTCCGCCAGGATTGGCGGGCGCTGAAGTCGGCCCGGCGAAGCCGCGGGGATTCGCGTCTTCTTCACCGCAGGGTGGCCGACAGGCGATTTTGCGATGGCCAAAAGAAGCCCCGGGGAGAAACATATCGGGGGGCGGTTGGGCGGGCTGGTTGAGATGGAAACCCAAGATTCATCAACCTGGCAGAGTAGCGAGAGGGTTCCCCCCCCCCCCGAAAAGTGTCGTTATCCTGCAGGTCACAAGTTTGTTTCCCCGCTTTGCACGGTTCTTCCTGTTGTGGTGAGGCGAGGGCTGCAAACACCTTCATATCCAAGTCAATGAGCGTCAGGCGCTTCGCATTGCTTTGGGGGGGGGGGCATTCGCGCAACTCCTTGCGGTGGCAAGGGCATCCTTCCAAGGATCATGACAATTGATAGGTCCACTTCCATTGGCCCGGGTGTATCATTCCGTTTTAGGCTCGGACAGGCTTGCCCAAGCGAATTCGTAGGAAGAGGTATAGGTGGTTGAGGTGTTGGTTCCTTTTTGCCCATCCGAAAGAGGGTCCCCAGTTCGACGCCCCCCAAATCGGCTTTCTGGGTCAGTCACGTAAACAGAAGGCGCCTGAGCCACCCCGACGCAAGCTGTGCAGCATTCTCGCGAGACAGGTGCAACCTTTGGATCGCGAGCGCCTTTTGGTTGAGATGTGGTGTTCAACCTACTTGCTAGAGCCCACAATTGGAACTTACTTGCTAGCTTGAACAAGGGATTGGTCCGCGGTTTTGAGATCAACCGTTTTGTCAGCCTGCTTAGTAGAACCCAGATTGGAACTTTGTTTTGGCCCCATGTCAATCAAGCCCAGTTGATTAATGGCGTCCCAGGGTTTAGTGGGGAATCATCATTTTTAGAAGGGAACATCCCCCTATTGCCTAACTGGGGTTGGCCAATATGGGGTCATTCTTACTAACTTGCAGACGCCAGATCAGGCCGCGGTTTTGGGATGCATTCTGTGGGAGCCGGCGAAGGTTGCAATGCTCAGCGCGCATGCTTTTCACTGACGGATTCTTGCCCGGGCAAGGCAGTCTCCCACTCCGGAAGGATTGCTGGCTCCCGGGAATTTATGTAACGAGTCGCAGAAGAGCTTTTTTTAGAAGTCAGTACTGTGGATGGACGAAATCCTGCACCACCTAAGAAACCATGGAATGATGATTCCCCTGTAAATGCCAACAAACAATGGTTTCCCATGATTTCCAAGTGGTGCAGGAATTCGTCCATCCACAGTATCAACTATCAACTACATGTCGCACTCGTTGATGTCAGCTGCTTGTAGACGTTCTACCTTATTCCGGCTGTGATGTCCAAGCAAGGTTCCTCATGGCGTATGTTTGATTGTTGTCCTTATACAGGCTTGGCAATCCTTGCCTAACAGCCAGACCCCCTCTGAAGGGAAACCATGAGGTTGTTTAAACCAAGGTGTTTTGAATATGTAGTATGTGTAAACAGGGGATTGGCCCCTGCCCTGTTGTCATGATCAATGACCCTCCCAAAAACAAACATGGAAGCTGAAGGGTAGATTTATCCCCAACCCCCCAAAGCGAGCCGATGCCACATGGAGACTGTCTTTCTATGGTGCCCCCGCTTGCGACTGGCGCTTCGTAGCATCGCTGAACAGTGTCTACATTGGGTTCCTTGAACCAAAGTCTACCCCGTACTCCGATTACCCTCTGTTTTTAGGGTATCATGTCGACCCTCTACTAAATAAGGAGGTATTTACCATGGAAACCCAGGTTTCAAAAAAAAAATAAAAAAATCAAGAAGTGGGTATTTGGAGTGGGGGGTATGTGCACCAGCTGAAGAGTTTGGCCAGTTGGAGTCTGTCTCTTCTTGCCGAGGGTTCCCCCTCAGAGGTTCCCGAAGGTGCCGAAACCCGATTCTGGGGCTTCCCATGTTTGGCGTGTCTCAAGGATTGGGACACGGAGACCCGTGTCAAGTCTCCGGATTTATGGTTCATGGGTTCAGGACCATGGCGAAGGGGACCCAAAGATATCAAAACACAAAACGGACGTCGAAGAAGTCCATGTCGCGGGTATTGCAGCGGACGCGCATGTTCCATGGGTTGGATTCTTCCCAGTGTCCTTTCAGGCCAACTCAAACTGAGCCAACCTTGTTGCCTGGCATGGCGGGAATCGGTCCGCAAATATCTGAACAGACCAAGAAACCGACGGGCCTACAAGCCCCCGTGTTGAAACCCTGGGTGGGTTTCCCTTTTTTCCCCATAGTCCGAGAAGGTTGGTTCGTTGGCTGAGGAATAGTGTTTTGTTCAGCTCAGGGTACAACATACACTTTTGCACGTGGAGATCCCCCGAATTGTTGTAACTCGAAGTGGGAACTGCCATTGGTTGGCATTGGAAGACCTGGCTAATTCTTAAAGTCGCGGTGGTATCGCAGAAGTGGAAGACCCCTCGTTGCAAATCGCCATCGCTCAGAATTGCCAGACCCTCTTGGGCTTCCGAGGAATGCCGAGTGCAGAGTCGCAGAGTCGCACGGCACGTCGAGCGGGTTAAGACGCAAAAGGGGCGGCCCTGGGCCGCCCGTTGGCAGCAGTACGGCTCTCCCAGTCAACATGAATCAGCACGGCAACCTGACAACGTGCCAGACCGCCCTGTTGAAAGCAAGAAATTGCCCGAAAGGAAGCCAAGCAGGGATGTGAGTTTCGTGAATTCCCATGTGCCATGTGCCACATGCGCAAAGCAGGACATCCGAACATACCCCATGGAGCCTTCCAAAGTCTCTGAAGTCATCTTCCACGTTTTAGCGGCTCATGGAGACTCCAAAGTGCTCTAGGCGGATCCGTGTGTCCAACCCCAGCGGAAGCCAGGCTCTCCTTCAGAAATCGGGGGGAAGCAGCTCGGGGGGTCACAGGGCATCCCATGCCCCAAATGCATGGGGCCGCGAACTCGGCCATCGGCTACCGCGAAATCGCCGCGCGCAAAGTGAAAAGGCGGCGCAGATCAAGGCTGGCAGTTGTCGTAAGTCTTGGGGAATCCAGGTTCCTGAACCCTTAAAATTCCCTTAAAAATGGGTTTGACCCCCAAAATTATGGTTGGTGATATCCCAGTTTTATGGGTAGTTTGAGGGTCCAGGCTTTGGGTTTTGAAATGGGCGAGACGGGTTGATGAGTTGTCTTGAAGCTCCATCTGGGTGGCGCACGCTTAGCGGGAACGTGGCTTCAGGGTAAATCGCTGCTGCCGACGAATGTTCAGAAAGAGCCTATGAAGCTTGTTTGCAAGGTCTCGGAGGTTGAAAGCAAATTCCCTAAGACGACTACGATGTGAAGGTGGCAACAGAATGTATTTGGGAGCAGAGTATGTTTGGCAACAGGGAGATGGCTTGTTTCTGAGCGAGTTACGGTACAGTTGGGAGGTGCCAAAGTTCTTGTAATTGTTTGGTTACCCTCCCCCAACGGAACTTACCCACCCCATGAGGTGGTTATGTCTTAGCGGCCTAGATGTTCTTCCCTCAGTGGCATGTTTTCATATTCGCCCGCACGAGCTGCCGGGGCACCTATCCAAAAGTTCCTCTAGGAACTGTGGTCTATTTTGTTGGGTTCTACGACATGTTATTATGGGTGTGTCTTTTTTAGGGACCCCCAAAAAAAGTGATCGTTCTCCTCGTGGTTTCGCGTTAAACACCACCGAACAGCGGTACCCTCAAAAAACAAAACAGCCATCTCCAGACAAGTAATTTGTGCTGCTCTTTAGAGACTGTGGGTGTCCCGTGGACACTGTTGGAGGGTCCACAAATATGGATTCTAAGTGACGCCTTAGTAATCATGCAGTCCATGTAGGACTGTAGGACTATATGAAGCCGCGGATGATCTTCAGATTCCAAATTGCGTGTAACATACATTCCTAGGTATCAAGGGGTCATCAGGTACCTTCCGATAAATAGGTCGTAGACCTGTTCTTGCTCCTAGACCATTTCGAGACGCCGATTGCAACCCTCTTTTTCTCAAAAGAGTTTTGCCAGCCATCAGAAATATTCCCCGCCCAGACTTGGCTCCGAACTAGAACCCCTAAGATTCGCTTGTGGGGCCTCTAGGTTTCCCAGATGCTTTTTGTGGCAAAACAGAGAGTTACTTGGAGGGTTGCCCAGACTTTTTGGGGCAAAACACTGATATTTTTTTTGGAGGAGCACTGAATGTGTCCATTCTTTTGTGGGGCTTGAAGATGTTTCCAGGACCCTGCGTCTGGGCCCTGGGTCTGAGCAGCCTTCGGCGACTCGGCGACGCCTGGGCTTCCCTTCGCTTTGGCTCAAGCTACTTGGAGGAGACGTCGGAAAAGTTCGCTCCCCGAGGCTCGACTGCGTCACAGTTGCTTGAGACAGAGTCCATATTCTTCCCCAGAATTGGCTCCCCTTTTCGTTTTTTGTTTTTTGCTTTTTGGGGTCCCTTGGTTTTCCACTAGCCAGGCCAAACAGATGTTTTGTTGCTGGGGTCCTAATTCCAGCCTAGTATTGGGGTGTTTCTCAACATAGACCCCTGAGTTTCAGAAATGGTCTTGTGTCCATGGTCCATAGTCAACTGGCTACATGTGTCCACCTCTTAGAGCAACTACCCCTCGCAGGGTGTTTCTCAAACTAGGGGGCACCTTTTTGGACTGTTGGGAAGAGCAAACCAAGAGGAAACCAACACGCTGAAGGGGTCCTTCCTTTTGAGCCCTTATCAAGCCCTTATTAGGCCTTATTAAGGGCTCCCTCCCCGCATCCTCCCTCCCCCCCAAGCCCCCATGACCCTTAAAAGGGCCGGTTGGTAAGTTCGGACTAGGTGCGCTTCCTCCCATGACCAAGGCACATAGTGTTCCCGAACCCAAGAAGTCCCCGGACTAAGCCAGCAGCGCTATTGAGACACACCGCGCCACACAACGCAACAAACACAAAACACAGACACACAAACAAACAAGCAAGCAAGCAAGCAAACAAGCAAACAAGCAAGCAAGCAAACAAGCAAGCAAACAAGCAAGCAAACAAACAATCAAACAAACACACACACACACAAACAAACACAAACACATACCCATGTCCATGTTTCCTGGCCTTTGTTTCTGCCCATTTGTCTCGGTGTTTTCGGCATGCGCAGGTTTGCCGCTGTGCGAAGCTGGGGAGAAACTCATCGGGATACGAGAAAGCCAGTTGTGTGTCAAACCGAGGGACGCCTCTGGAAGAACACAACGCCGCCAGCAACGCTGGGGAAACCAATGCTTTGGTGCATTTTGCTTGGCTGTTAGGACTTTAACTTTTTGCCAACTAGTGGGTTTTCCACTAAACCACTTAAAGTTAAACTTTTAGCAGGGGAGCAGAAAGCAACCGAGGATCCCAAAAATACACTCGGCAACAACTACTCCACGCACTTGGGCACTTGATCATTCTGAGGGCCCAAACAAATCCTTAGGGAAAAAACCGAAAGGATGCACACAAATCAAGGCTCGGTGTGTATTGGTTCCTTCGATGGAACCGATGTGTTTTGTTCACCATCCCGGCACGGGCTTATTGGAGCGCCACAATTGGAGAATTGACCACACATATCATGGTTGTTGTTGGGAAACATTTTACATTTTTGCTTATTGTGGTTTAGTGGGAAATCCCCACTTAACTGCTAAAATTTAAATTTTTGCTCCCCTTTCAACGTCAACCAAGATATCATTCAATCTGGCTGAATGGCCAGTCTGAGAGTTTAACAGGTTTCGGCTCGAATGTGGCTCTTAGCTTCTGTCAGAAAGCGCCTAATTGCTGCCAAAAGAGAACTGCAAGCCGAAATTCACAAAAAGAAGGCATTTGACAACCAACGCATTGAAAGAAGAAGTACGCACAAAACATGCACAGGGGCTCGGGAGTGCTGGAAGTACGTTTCTAGTTCTGCAACGAAGGCTTTCTTAGGGAGGGTGCAGGCAACACGCACCCAAAGAGGCTGGATTACTCCATTGTTCAAGATGTCTGGGCCCTGCAAGACACATACACACACTCACACACACACACACACACACATTCTTTGAAAGTTCCCTGGAGGGAATGCCCATGACTCATGACAGCCAGAAAATATGTTGAAACCTTCCCCACCCCCCCCTTTTGGATAGTTTTACAGGGATGCCAAGAGGAAACCCTGTGTTGAACCATCCTCTTCTCTATTGAGCCATGTGCACTTCCGCGTTTACTCGGAATTCTGCGCGCAAGGCTCCCGTTGTTTGTTGGGACAGCCCGGCTTCAGGGCCTCTGGCCGAGCCCTGCCGAAGCCCCAAGACGAGAAACGCCCCAAGCACTAAACACCCAAAACCATCGAAACCGAAACACCCTAAAAATCCTAAGTCTGAAGAAGACCGTGTCTGCAACACAAATTTGTGTGTTTGTGGAGTTTGTGGGTAATTGTACAGCTCCGAACCTGTTTCCAGGGACGCCGATGTATTTGTGTATTTTCCTTCGCGCCAGGTTTCAACATGACGACGCGTGGGGCTCGACGGCGTCGGAAACAAATCGGTGAGCCAGATCCGGGCTTAAACATTCGGGGGTTCGTATATTTGGATGTGTCATGTTAGTTTCAGCTGCTGCCTTCCTGTTGGTGTCCAATTTCTTAACCATCATTGGACCCTTCATAGGGGCAAAGGGATCTCCATGGGAAGGGCAAAAGGACCTCAAAAAGAAACGTTTTGAGGTACTACGATTCTTATTTGGGGGGCGATTCTTATTTGGGGAGTGTCTTGATAGTTTTTGGTTTGTTTCCGGGTTTCCACCGAGGCTCACTCTCTTACTGATGACTTGCCCCCAATTGACATGGAGCCCAAATTTTGGTTGTAACAAGTTGGCTTTTTGGGTTCCGCATGAAAATCAGGTAGGAGAGCACTTAACCTTTGAACAACAACATATGCAGAATGTGAAAAGATCCTCACTTGCAAGCAAATCGACCTGATATTGCCTTTTGGCTTTCCCCTTGCTTGTCCATTTGTATGGTCGCAAAAGGTCATCGCCTGTTGCTTCTGGGTCCCTACGGAGCAAGCAAGCGTCAACCCCAAGGCCCTCTGCCAAGAAATGGAAACCTTCGCATGGCATGGCATGGGTCGCTGGTTGCAACTGGGTCCTGACAGGAATCGGTCCATGCCCATCTCCAAGCATTGTCCAGCGATGCCTCACGACTTTGCTTGTTCAATCCCTTGAAACTGGTGGCTGGGGTTTGGTGGTCCCCGACCATCCAACCACCAGCATGAAATCCTGGAAGGAAGCTGATTGTGTGGAGCCCTGCGCGAACTGAAACCCAGGTTTCTGAGCTTCAATGACAGCTTCAACTCGAAGATCACTTTCCAGGCGGAGGAAAGGAAGAAGCGAGTGTTCATGTGGTTTTGGTGGGGGGGGGGGGGCAGGGACTGCGCCGTGATTTGTTTGTTTTGTGTGTGTGTGTGTGTTTTTTTGGTGGGGATGCGTTTTGGGAGTTTAATTTTGGGAAGCCCGGCTTTTGACCCTCATCCAAGAAACAAGATGCGGTCATGCATCTGAGGGAGGGGGTTCTCAAGAGCAAGAGGAAGCACTTAGCAATGCATTACTGGGTGTGTCTTTTTTTATGGGACCCCTCCAATATTGTGGTTTTCCCGTTGGTTTCCCTTCAACCTTCACCCCCCCCCCCCCCAAAGTACCACCCGAAAAAGACACACCCGTATCTTGGATTTCTCTGGTTTCGGTGCAAGTTCTTCGTGTTCGTCAGTCCCTAAACTCCCTTTTTGCTGATTCGCCACCGAAAGGGGGCCTATTTCAAGAAGAGCTTCCTCCAAGTAGGGTGATGTTTGCAGGGTAAATGAAGGAATTGTGTTGATTACATTAACTCTTGTGGCTGCCTTTCACTGGAGGAGACCAAGGAGGAATATAAGCACATCCAACAGACCTGCTTTTCTTGGCGTTTGGTGCGCAATAACTAATGGTATTATTTTGGACAGCCGGGATACCAGGCTTTTGTCCTCCGTGATGTCGGCGGATTTGTATGCCTCTTGTGTGGGGTTCCTCTCCTGACAAAATTCGGAGTTGATCCCACATGCGCGTTTTTCAGGCTGGATCTTTCCAAATGATTGGCTTGCTGGGGGGTCCTACATTTGGCAGAAACGTGCACCATGCAAAGATCCAACAGCCCAACTTTTCCTCTCCAACGGGCAGCCAAAGCCGACCATATTTGTTCGCACGTCTTGAAAGGAGTGTGCTATGTCATTCTGTCCGGCGACTTGCGGCTTCAACCCGCGCAGTTGTTCAAGCGCAAATCGACCATGTGTCTCACTTGTTTTCCTCTTTTCGCCGTTGGTCCGTGGTCGCTCCATGCTTCCATGCGCTCAAGGTTGCATCTAGCACTTCCCTGTTGGGCTTCAAGGCAGATGGTCCTGACTGGAGAGATTCAGCCGTTCCATGGCATCGGCACTGAAGTGTGTGTCATATTTTGGGGACCCCGGACCGGTCGTTTCTCCTTTACGCTTCCCTTTCGACAAAGAAAATGGCACCAACATGTGTGTGTGTGTGTGCATTTGTAAAATATATTGTTCTTGGTAAAGAGGAAAGAAGACAAGAAGACAACTCCGTGTTTGGTCCTTTGACGCATACCTGAAGGGCCGGTTGTTTTCCTTTTGGGTGTCTGTTTTTTGGGCCCAGAATGGCACAACGCTTTTCCTGTTGGTTTCCTGATAAATCCAACCAAACAAGGGGAACCAACTCAAAAAGAACAGAGCTTTTGGGTTTGTAGAAGCTTCCCATCCCAAGCTCATCGCCCCCTATACCGCGCCACCCGGAAGGAAGAAAAAGCTTTGCAGGACTCTGCAGAGACGGAGGAGATGCTGAAGAAGGACTAGCGCTTGACACCTGGGGCCTTCCAAGATTCGGCCATGAGAGCCAGCCGTCTGGTTCTTTGGGTTTTTAGGTTCGGGTTTAGCGAAGAATTCTTAAGATTTAGGTTGTTGAGGGTTTTAGTGCTTGGGTGTTTTCGGCACCGGTTTTTATTTTTATTTTCATTTCACCGACGAGCGTTAAACATTTAGCAGGGGGATCTGAGGACAGCCCACTAAAAAAACCTTGTTGCCACCACTGGGCTTCTGAGACTTGCAAACATGGCGAAGGTGTTACTGGTAGCAAGTTCAATGTGTCTAAATGGGCTTGTCTCAGCAAAGGAATTTAGAACCCCACACATTTTGTTTGAACTTATCCAACAAAGAACCCCAAGGACAACCCCAACACTGCACCAGAACTGTTTGCCTCCTGTTTGGTGCACTGCACCAAGCTGCCCTCATTTTTCTGCGGGGGTGCACTGTAGGGCGATGAAAGGCCAAAGGCAGGCCAACCCTCCCATGAAAGTCCACGAAGCCCGGGAGAGCCTCTCTTAATAGTCAGGTTCTTTTGGGTGTGCCGTTTTTTGGATGGTACTCTTTTGGGATTGTTTTTGAGGCAAACAAAAGAAAACCCCCAACTTCACCGCTATCAAAGACACCCCTTTTTTAAGTGGTTGGTTGGTTGGTTGGTCGGTTGGTCGGGTCGGCTGGGTGGCCGCATCCCCACTTGGGACCAGGGCTGCTTATTGGCTTTGATTTGGTGGCAGTTCAGAGTTGCTCGAGGCTGGTTTCGGGTGAGAGTTGGGCTTGCTGAGGTCTTATATAATGAGGGCGGGAGGCACTCAAACCAATGACCCCAGTTGCAGTCGGACAGATCCTTTTGGTGTTTGAAGAGAAACCCACAGGACACCTCCTGACGAATCGATCCTCGACAAGGCTTTCCCTCTCCGTGGAGGGCCCGCTCTGACGCTTAAGGTTGACCCGTTTTTTTTTTGTTTGTTTTTTTTGTTGTTTTGTTTTGTTTTTTTTTTCTCAACCTGCGTTTACTTATTATATGGGGGTGTTCCTCTCCAAAAGTTATATATAAACCTCACTTGAACCAGGGACACCCACATATGAATAAGCAGGGGTTGATCAACATGCGGGTCAACATTAGGTCCTTTTGGATCCACCCCCACACGAATGTTACTCCAGGATCTGCCACTCCGGTACACGCGCGGAGCCCTGGATGTGGAGCAGGTGGGTTCGGCCGCCGAGGTGGACACATGTAACCTTCCGGAGGCTACCAGGGTTTCAGTCAGTGGTCGGACGAGATTTGTTCACTTGCCAAATGGGAAACGCCTCACAGCCAGCCAAACTTCACCAATTCGATGGACGTCCCCCAAAAGGCAACGCACGACGTGTAGCTGGGCAGTTCCACGAGGCCATCAGGTGTCTTGGGCTTTTCGGATTCTAGTTGGTTTAGTGGTCGGGTTTCCATGTAGCCCACAAGTTAGTCACTTTTGGCCAGGGATCAGTTTGGACAGGTAGGTACTTTTGAGAATGGACCCAGATGCTGCTGCTTGAAACCCAGAAGGTTGCTCCCAGAGAGTGAAAAATTGGTGGGTCCTGTCGTTAAACGGTTTCTTGGTCGAAGATCGATATTTCTATTGGTGACCAACCGGATCAAAACTCAAGGAGTAGACAATTGCTTTGGCTTCTTCTGGCATGCCGAGAGATAAAGAAGACACATTTGTTTCCATAGTCTTAGAACTACAAGCTTTTCTTCTTCTTTTTTTTGGGGGAGGGGGGGTCCAGAACTACAACCAGCTTTTTGGGAGGAAATTCACCACCCTCACCCTCGGACCTTTTCGATTTGGCTCGATCCGATTCGATTCGATTTGTGTCAGGTGGAGTGTCTGGGAGCAGATCATGCAGACCTCCGAGGCCAAGGCGCAGTACGCGGACGCCACCCAGAAGGCCCGGGTCGGAACGGTCTCGGGTCTCCTGGTCCCGTGCCGATGGGGTCCGAGGTCGATCCGTGGATCCGATGCCAATTTTTTCCGGGGCGGAGAAAGGGATTCGGGGCCCACCAGACTCAAAGTTAAATGTAGCGTTTGCCTCGCAGAAAATACCCAGAAGTGGTTATTACAACCACATGTTTATGGTTGGTGAGTTCACTTTTTACAAGTTTGTGAGTCCAGGTATACATCAAATGAAGGCGAAAGGACTTGTATAGATTGTTCAAACACGTTTTTGCCACTTGCTTCCAAAGCTGCCTCAATTGTTCAACATCGATTCTTTAGCCCTGCCCCAGATGGCAGCGGTTTCCCTGTCGTGATGGTGCCCCTCAGAATGCGGGTTGGGAGTATATTGGAATATATTGGACTCGGTTCCCAGCCATCAAGGCGGTTGGGTTAGTTGGACTCGTTGGGTTCAGCGGACCGCTTTCTTCAGGCTGGCGCAACTTACCGTTCAATCGGTCGAGACGGAAGGAAGTCCCGAAGGCCACTGGTGGGAAGTATGGTTCGCATGTGGTCAAAAGATGGAGAAGATCAAAGTCGCCACAAGACGGTGAAGCATGTTCTGAAGTTTGTGTGCAGAGTTGTCGTATTCGACACGCAAATGTGAGGGTTCAAGGGAGTGGGCCCCATTCTCGCGGTTTGGTTGCAGTCTCAATTCCTGACTTCATGGACTTCAAACTTTTAGCGGTTTAACGGTTGGACCATTCTAGTGGCAAACAATTATTTGTTCTTTGGTTGCCAGTTAACTCGATCGGAAGTGAGAGGTGGTTTCCCTAAAGAAACCGGGGAGCTGTGTTGTGGAATCAAGGGGTTTGTCCCCACTTCTGTGATACAAGGGAATCTCCCCTCCCATGTCGGTGGTTAGTCTTTGGGAAGCCGTTTCTGATGTTTTCCTGAAACAAGCTCTGGGAGGTTAGTCTTTGGGGTTAGGCCCTGGTTGTTTTATCACAAGCCCTTGTGGATTCCATTTCAGAAAAAAAAAGACACCGCGGGGCTTCGGTTGAAATTCACAGGCCGATTCGTGGATTCCATTTCTCGCCCCTTCAGCCCTTCCGCCCGCGGTGAGAATTCAGGTGGCGAGCTTCGGCACGGTCCAGGATTTCTGGAGGCGGAAAACGACTGAGGGTTTCGACCCCATCCAAATCGAAATCGGGGAAACACCCAACCAAAAAGGGGTAGGACCCCACCCAAATTGCAGCAACGCTTTTTCCCCTTTGGGGTTTCCTGTAAAAACCAACCAAGAAAGGGGTACCCTCAAAAAAGGAATCAGGTAGTTGGTTCTGGGTCCCGTTTCGGAGTCAGCAGACTCACTTTTGGGGGTGGCAGCCATTGAACAACCAGTGTGATGGTCATTTAGAGGATGTCATTGTAATGGACCCAGCTCTTTTCTTCGGCCGAACCAGAGAAGCTGGTTTGTGTTTACTTGACATGAGGGCACACTGCGGAGTATGTTCTTGTTGCTTACTTGCCTGTTTGCTTGGTTTAATTTGTTGATTGCCTGGTTTGTGTGTGTGTGTGTTTTTTGTTGAATCGATCAGGTGGGACAATAGGTGACTTTGTAGTGACTGAGTGACTGAGGCTGGCTGACTGGCTGATTGGCTGGCTGACTGACTGACTGACAGAACTGGCGTGTGTGAGTTGATTTGATGGGTTGATGGATCGATCGATTGACCGACTGAGTTGGTTGATTTGTTAGTTTATTGCAAAGCAGACGTCGCTGGAGCCTCACAAGCGATTGATGAGCATGAATCCCGTTTGATTTAAGCCCTTGAAAAATTATGTAGCAACCAAGAATCGAGCGGCAGCAACCAACGCTGGAAAGTCAAAAACTCCAAGGCTTTCAGTGGGATTCAAAATTTGGGTTTGCGGGAATGAAGCGGTTCCTCGGCTCAGTTGTTCAGAAACCTGTTCACCTTGTTGTTGTTTTTGGTCCAGGTGTTGCAAAGACGTCCAATGATCACCTTTTAGTTGAAGGAAAAGGAAGTGATCGAAGGAGTTGAAGGAAAGTAAGGTTAAAGGTAATTACGTAAGTGAGGTTAAAGGTTAGGAAAGCGTTCTTTGAGCACTTGAGTTGAAGGAAACCACAAGTTGGACGGTTGAGTTCGGCTCCATTGCCATCCTTCAGCTGGCGCTCTTCGAATGATCTCCATCCCCACCAAGACTTTGATGGGATGCCACTGTGCAGCCACATCAAGGGCTGAAAAAAAGGGACCTCTTCAGGTGGTTGGTTTCCTTTTGGGTTCTCTGCAACCCATTTTAATTTTGGGAAGGATATGTTTTTTGCCGGATCCTATTTTGACCAAATCCTACGTATTTTGACCAACACTTATTTTGAAAAGCATATCTCATTTTCCCTGGGTTTGGGTCAACCGGTGGTTTCCAGCCAGACACCTGGCGAAGGGCAGTCGACAAGCGGAGTTTCACTCAGACCGGATTTCCGAGCCACGTCCCTTTTTGGTTCCGCCGAAAGTGGCGATTTGTCCATGGAAACTAGTCCGTGGCTAAGGGGAAATCTAGTGACTCTCAGAAAGTGCAATGGTGTTCAGCAGGATACTCTCTCAAGAGAATAGGAGAAAGGTGACTGGGATGCGTCTCAATATATGGCGGGCCACGCTTCGGTTTCATGTTGGCCCGCCTTTTTATTGTGTTCATGTTAAAAGAAATCTGACCCAGCGGATCCCAGATACCAGTATAGCAGGTATAGCCGTTTTCCTTTCATCAAAAGGTACGGCGGACTTCACTCAATTGCGGCTTTCCTACTGGTGTCCCTTGAAACCATGACATCATGGTTGTTGTTGGGAAACATTTTGCATTTTTGCTTGTTGTGGTTTAGTGGGAAATCCCCACTTAACTGCTAAAACTCCCCTTTCAACATCAACCATGACATGGGTGCCCTCAAAAAACACCTTGAATGGAATCGCTCAGTTAGACCTTAGGCCTCTGTGTACCCTTGAGTTGGGCGGTTCCTCCCCAAAGCAAAATCATCCCTCCAGGAGCGCCTTGTCTTTGCAACTCGCGGAAGGAAGGGGTGATTTGGCTGCCAAAACCAGGAGATGCAAGACGCACCGGGCTGCTCAAAAATCGGAATCAGCCCAAGAACTTTGAGCCACGCCCCTCCAAACCACATTCAAAACCTCCAACTTTCAACCCTCACTCCCTAGGCAACCCTCCTTTTACTTGTGTGTTGTTTTTGTTTCTTTCCCTTTTTCCGGGGGGGGAGGGAGTCAGCAAAGGACCCTGTGCGATGGCTCACATTGCGGGGACTGGAGGAATGGGAAACTTGGGGCTTGGCTTGACGCGTCTTCAAAGCAGGCCCCCTCTTTTCTCCATGTCGTTTCTTTTTTTGGGGGGGGCTGGGCGGGGGAAGTCAAAAAAAATTGCCATGCTGAGCATGGTGCTGACCATGGCCCGCTCAACCATGGGGCGTGGCGCCACGTGGCGCGGAGGCTATGGAACCACATGCCCCAGCCCAGCGAGCTCCTGGAGCAGAAGCGGATCGCCCGGCGGCCCAGACGTCTCTCCGCGTCTCGAGCCGCGTCTCCGATGGGTGGACATCGGGTGCGGAGAAAAAGACATCCAAGGGCACACGGAAGAAGCCTTGCCGATGGGTGGATTCGAGAGATGGGACTGAGAAATGGTGTCTGATTTTATAATCCATTTCTTGTGGAATCCTAGAGAATCCCTGGGTTGGCGCGTTCTCGGCAGGGATTCTAGTGGTTGTGAAGGATCCTTGGTGGTTTGGGGATTTGAACTGGCCTTATATGGCTTCCTGGTGTGTTCTCGGCAGGGAAGAAGAAATGAAATGACCCCGAGAAAAACCATCCAACTGGTGGTTTCCTTTCTTCGGGAATCACTGGGTTCATTCCCGCATTCCCTACTGAGCACCAGCATGAAAATCCCAGGGGTGCAAACCGCCCATTTCTGAGGGGAGCTGAGAGAAAAGAAGATCTGAAGTCACGCAGACACACACACACACACACACACACACACACACACACACACACACACACACACACACACACACACACACACACACACACACACACACACACACGCACACACACACACACACACACACACACACACACACACACACACACACACACACACACACACACACACACACACACACACACACACACACACACACACACACACACACACACACACACACACACACACACACACACACACACACACACACACACACACACACACACACACACACACACACACACACACACACACACACGCACACACGCACACACACACGCACACACACACACACACACACACACACACACACCACACACACACACACCACACACACAGTCACCACCGAACCTTTTTCTTTGCCCAACAAAGCACGACCGTACGCTAAAGAGGGGTCCATGACCAATCCCCTGTTAGTTTCCCTTTGGGGAGAACAGTTTTTCGCGGCGGTCTTGAAGTTTCAGAAGCTGTACAAAAGCCAGGGCACCCGTTGTCTAGTGTATGTTTGAAGCATATTCGCGGACGGAAGCAACACTTATCCGTTTGAAGAAAAGGACGCAAGGAGACGCCGCAGCCTTTTGCCCGCACGTCCGCTTGAAGCTTCAAGGGGTTGCGAGCAGAAAAACGCCTGAAGCGAGGTGCGGGAGCAGCCGGATGGCCTGCGGGTCATCGACGCCCTGATGATCTTTCGCGAGAACATTCGCTCGATGCCCCAAGGGTCAAAGTCGCACGCCCTCAATGTCTTGGAAGCCGCGGTCTTTTGGGGTCGCTGTGTGGATGGGAATCTCTTTCCAGCAATGGGCACCAAAAGAAAACAGTGAGGTTGTCATTCTTCTTTATGTTGGGTGGTGTCTGGGGCGGACCCTCGTTCCATAAAATCATTGTGTTTAATGAACTTGAGATCAGACGAATTCCGCAAGAATACAAGTCATACAAGGTCTGCATTGGCACACTCATCCTGGCCATGTTGTCAGCAGATGCGTATGGCAAGATCTGCCTTGGGGCTTCGGTTGCTTATGTTGGTCTTTGCCAATACGACGGACTTTTCTCAATTTCATTTTCATTTAAAAGCAACCCCAAAGAGGCCCTTGGTTCTTGAACGCGGATGAGAAGGGAGGCCCACCCAGATTCCCACCCAATTGTCCCACATCCCCTTGGGGAACAAGAACTTGTGTCTGTTCATAGGAGCAACGCCTTGGTGTGGTCCCCTATCAGATTTGCAGATTGGGTGGTATCCATGTGTTTATGGTTCCCCATCATTTGCTAAGTCCCCCAGTAGTGCCGTTGTGCCCTTTTTTGGGCTAGGGTTCCCCTACTACACCAGACTGCAGAAAAAAGTTGGTGCCCTTATTCTAACCTCTCTACTGGAGGACCTAGTTTGTTTGCAGCAATATGAGGAACTTGGACCTTTGGGGTTCCTCGAAAGCCCATGTTCCTCAAAGCTGGAGGGTGCCTCAGCAGGAGGCCAGGGAACCATTTACCATATGTCGGCCTTGAGGATGAGACGGCGCCTCAGCCAAACCTGAACCATACTGTGGATGGACGAAATCCACTTCGCACCACGTTGAAACCACGGGAAACCACTGTTGGGTGGTATTTACAGGGGAATCATCTCTTAGGAGGTGCGAAATGGATTGCGTCCATCCACAGTAGGTGTCCTTTTTAGGCTGGTTTGACAATCGCTGGCCCTGGTTGCAGCTTGGTTCTGGTCATCTGCGGTGAATGCCAACTAAATCTTGCAAGTAAACCAGAAACCATGGCGGAATTTACAGGGTGTCCAACTTGTTCCCTTGCAATTTCTGGCAGGGGCATCCACCCACCAGTGCAGGATACCTATTCACAGACCTGTATCGATTTCTGTCGGGTGAGAAAAGCGGGAACCGGTCGTGTTTGGGTTCGTCGACTCGGACCCTGAGAGCTCAGGATTCGATAGATGTTGGGTCCGGGCCGATCAATTTGCCTAGGGATGCCAATTTAGGGTTTGACACGATCCATACTTGCACAGATCGTGGACAGGTTTGGTTCCAGCCAATTTGTGTTGTGTCGCTTCGCGGCAATCCAAGTGCACCTCTTGTCGGCCACATGTTGTGCCATGGCCATGTGATGTTACTCCACCTCGGCATTTGGTAGAATAAATTGAGATTTGGCATGCTTCGTCATCAAGCGCACCAACATGCACGATTTCCCAAATCCAAGCGAAGAAGGAACGGGGTACCCTTCACTCTAGCATTGTATGGTTGGTGGTTCATCGGCCTCCCAAGATGGCCATAGTTTTGGCTTCCCTTGAAACATCAACCGAAAATGGGTTTCGAGCCAACCATGGCCCTTGAAATCAGCAGAGCAGGAACTCGTTTCTCAGGGCCTGTGCGGGCTTGCCTTGTTTCGGAGTTGGTACCCCTCGTTCTGTGGTCTTCCCTAAACTTGGTGGCTCCCAGCCATCCCCTTAGGTTTTTAGCTTTTTAGTGTTTAGTGGTTGGATGTCCATTTAACCCACTAAAAGTTTAACTAGCCGAGGGATCTAAGGGCAGCCCAGTAAACCAACAGGGCCACCGACCCTCCGACGCCGGCTCGCTCGCCGTTTCGGGGGCGGGGCGGGCCACCGAACATCCGGGTTCGCTTTTTACCGTCGGAGAGCGAGGTCCCGAATGGGAGGACAAGATGAACGCGAAGGGGGGCCACTTCCAGGTACTCGCGACTCGATCCGTCGGGTCGCGCTGGAATTCGCTCGGGTCTCGCTCGCTGGTGTTCGTGAGTGGTCCAACCGCTGTTTTGCCCTTAAGAATGGGATTGTTTGCTTGCAAAGAATGTGCTTCCCCGTTGATTGGGGTGTGTTTGCTTGCAAAGACGGCCAAAAAGAACATGCAAGTTGTAATTCGCCGATGATTTGCTCCCTGGAGGCCAGGTGTTTGTTTTTCCCTTTGGGTTGCTCATGTTCTGTTGCAAAGCTGCCGCGAAATTCCCAATCTTGGCCATTGTTGACACGGGATTCGGCTTGTTCGCTGGGAGGGTCCTTTCATTGAATGGGAATCCTCCAGTATCATATGAGTTATGAGGCTTCTTTGCAGTACCATGCCCGAAATGTTCAATAATAACCTCAAGGAAGGTGGTTGAACAGTAGACTTGAAGTGTCCACCATATTATCTTTGGTGCATTTTGCTTGGATGTTAGGACTTTAACTTTTTGCCAACTAGTGGGGTTTCCATTCTAAAAGTTAAACTTTTCGCAGGGGAGCAGAAAGCGGCCGAATTATGGATCCTTAGCATGCCTTGGTGTCCACCATCCGGATCCCTTCTGGTTGTGATCACTTAAGTCAGGCTAATCTTAGCAGAGGATGTGAGGACAGCCCAGTGACTGCGATCCATTGAACATTTGTCGCACGTTTTCGAGCGACTGCCGCCAGTTTCAGCTGAAGCCCAACTGCGGAGGTGGTCAGATCGATGAGTGCGCCGACGGCCCATTGACTTTCGCCTGCGTTTGCGGCAGACAACTTGTCAAATTACAATATGAGGTTACAAGTAAGGTCCGGCAGAGCCGGGGGGCGGAAGTTTCAAAGCAGTGAACAACTATAGTTTGGAGAACTGTCCTTGGCCCCTTGCTTCTCTTTCTCTCTCTCTTTTTCTCTCTTTCTCTCTTTCTCTCTTCTCTCTTTCTCTTTCTGTTTCTCTGTCTCTTTCTCTCTCTTTCTATCTATCTCTCTAGCTATCTCTACATCTGTTTATTGATCTATCTATCTACCCATCTTTCTCTGCACTTAAAAGTTGCGATGTTCAATCCCCGAAAGTTGACTTCGCGTACTACTTTCGTACTTAAAAGTTGCGATTTTCGAGCCCCAGGCTGGACTTGCGTACTACTTTCGTACTTAAAAGTTGCGATTTTCAAGCCCCAGCTGCGAAAGTTGACTTCGCGTACTACTTTCGTACCGATTTTCAAGGCTGCGAAAGTGGACTTTGCGCACTACTTTCGTACTTAAAAGTTGCGATTTTCCAGCCAGCTGCGAAAGTTGACTTCGCGCGTACTACTTTCGTACTTAAAAGTTGCGATTTTCGAGCCCCGGCTGCGAAAGTGGACTTTGCGCACTACTTTCGTACTTAAAAGTTGCGATTTTCAAGCCCCAGCTGCGAAAGTTGACTTCGCGTACTACTTTCGTACTTAAAAGTTGCGATTTTCAAGCCCCGGCTGCGAAAGTGACTTTGCGCACTACTTTCGTACTTAAAAGTTGCGATTTTCAAGCCCCAGCTGCGAAAGTTGACTTCGCGTACTACTTTCGTACTTAAAAGTTGCGATTTATCTATAGATCTACCTATCTATCTACCTCTCTATCTCCTATCTATCTATCTCCCTCTATCTATCTAGCTAGTTATTTGTCTATCTATCTACAAATCTATCTATCTCTGTCTATCTCTGTTTCTCTATCTCTTTCTATCTATTTCTCTAGCTATCTCTATATCTGTTTATTGATCTATCTATCTACCCATCTTTCTCTGCACTTAAAAGTTGCGATGTTCAATCCCCAAAAGTTGACTTCGCGTACTACTTTCGTACTTAAAAGTTGCGATTTTCGAGCCCCAGCTGCGAAACTGGACTTCACGTACTACTTTCGTAGTTAAAAGTTGCGATTTTCGAGCCCCAGCTACGAAAGTGGACTTCGCGTACTACTTTCGTACTAAAAAGTCGCGATTTTCGAGCCCCAGCTGCGAAAGTGGACTTTGCGTACTACTTTCGTACTTAAAAGTTGCGATTTTCAAGCCCCGGCTGCGAAAGTGGACTTTGCGCACTACTTTCGTACTTAAAAGTTGCGATTTTCAAGCCCCAGCTGCGAAAGTTGACTTCGCGTACTACTTTCGTACTTAAAAGTTGCGATTTTCGAGCCCCGGCTGCTCAAATCTGTGCTTGACCTTGCTAAAGTGCTGCGCCTGCCACAAAATCTGTACTTGACCTTGCGAAAGTGCTGCGCGTGCCACGAATTTTGCACTTGACCTTGCGAAAGTGCTGCACCTGCCACAAATTCTGTACTTGACCTTGCGAAAGTGATGCGCCTGCCACGAATTTTGTACTTGACCTTGCGAAAGTGCTGCGCCTGCCACGAAATCGCACTTGACCTTGCGAAAGTGCTGCGCCTGCCACGAAATCTATACTTGACCTTGCGAAAGTGCTGCGCCTGCCACGAAATCTATACTTGACCTTGCGAAAGTGCTGCGCCTGCCACGAAATCTACACTTGACCTTGGGAAAGTGCTGCGCCTGCCACGAAATCTACACTTCACCTTGCGAAAGTGCTGCGCCTGCCACGAAATCTATACTTGACCTTGCGAAAGTGCTGCGCCTGCCACGAAATCTATACTTGACCTTGCGAAAGTGCTGCACCTGCCACGCAATTCAAACCTAGCGAAACCTTCGCGCGGCCGTGCCAATGGTCCCGTCTCCGAGACCGTTCCGAACCCGTTCCGACCGTTCCGAGACCGTTCCGAGACCGCCTCCGTACAGGCGTCGCAGCCGAGGTGGTTTGCGCACAGTCCGGAAGCCCAATTCACGCACAGCGCCAACGTTTTCTGCATCTTGCCATCCCCCAGCTCGCAGAGAGTGCTTGCGAAAGTGCTGCGCCTGCCACGAAATCTATACTTGACCTTGCGAAAGTGCTGCGCCTGTCACGAAATCTACACTTGACCTTGCGAAAGTGCTGCGCCTGCCACGCAATTCAAACCTTGCGAAACCTTCGCGCGGCCGTGCCAATGGTCCCGTCTCCGAGACCGTTCCGAACCCGTTCCGCGCCGTTCCGTACAGGCGTCGCAGCCGAGGTGGTTTCCAAGCCCAATTCACGCACAGCGCCAACGTTTTCTGCATCTTGCCATCCCCCAGCTCGCAGAGAGTGCTTGCGAAAGTGCTGCGCCTGCCACGAAATCTATACTTGACCTTGCGAAAGTGCTGCGCCTGTCACGAAATCTACACTTGACCTTGCGAAAGTGCTGCGCCTGCCACGCAATTCAAACCTTGCGAAACCTTCGCGCGGCCGTGCCAATGGTCCCGTCTCCGAGACCGTTCCGCACCCGTTCCGAACCCGTTCCGAGACCGCCTCCGTACAGGCGTCGCAGCCGAGGTGGTTTGCGCACAGTCCGGAAGCCCAATTCACGCACAGCGCCAACGTTTTCTGCATCTTGCCATCCCCCAGCTCGCAGAGAGTGCTTGCGAAAGTGCTGCGCCTGCCACGAAATCGATACTTGACCTTGCGAAAGTGCTGCGAAAGTGCTGCGCCTGTCACGAAATCTACACTTGACCTTGCGAAAGTGCTGCGCCTGCCACGCAATTCAAACCTTGCGAAACCTTCGCGCGGCCGTGCCAATGGTCCCGTCTCCGAGACCGTTCCGAACCCGTTCCGAGACCGCCTCCGTACAGGCGTCGCAGCCGAGGTGGTTTGCGCACAGTCCGGAAGCCCAATTCACGCACAGCGCCAACGTTTTCTGCATCTTGCCATCCCCCAGCTCGCAGAGAGTGCTTGCGAAAGTGCTGCGCCTGCCACGAAATCGATACTTGACCTTGCGAAAGTGCTGCGCCTGCCACGAAATCTACACTTGACCTTGCGAAAGTGCTGCGCCTGCCACGCAATTCAAACCTTGCGAAACCTTCGCGCGGCCGTGCCAATGGTCCCGTCTCCGAGACCGTTCCGAACCCGTTCCGAGACCGCCTCCGTACAGGCGTCGCAGCCGAGGTGGTTTGCGCACAGTCCGGAAGCCCAATTCACGCACAGCGCCAACGTTTTCTGCATCTTGCCATCCCCCAGCTCGCAGAGAGTGCTTGCGAAAGTGCTGCGCCTGCCACGAAATCGATACTTGACCTTGCGAAAGTGCTGCGAAAGTGCTGCGCCTGCCACGAAATCGATACTTGAGAAAGCTATCTATGTGTTAAGCTGGCTATATGTCAAAGCTATCTATCTGTCATGCTAGCCTATTGGAAAGCTATCTATCTGTCAAGCTAGCTATATGTCAAAGCTATCTATTTGTCATGCTAGCTACCTGTCATAGCTATATGTCAAAGCAGCTAGCTCATTTAGTTCCAGTACTACGGAAGTTTCTTGTTAAACTTCCTTTGACAACATCCCCACCCCCTTAGGGCCCGACAATGCGGGGGGACGTCTGAAAATGTAACCCCCCTTAGCGGTGTGCGGATGTTACAACCAACTCCCCGGGGAAAAAACAAAAACTCGCTGGGGGTGTGGCTGCTTTGGCAATGTCACCAAAGCGGATCCCTCGTTGGGTTTGTCCCAGTCTTGAGGCCTTGACCAATTGGCCGTCCCGTTTGGACACGAGCCCTTCTAGGTCCAGCTAGGTGCCCTTCTCTCCCGTTTCTTTTTTGGTTGGGAGGGTTCGGGACCCTACTAGAATCAGGGGGGTCTTTTTGCCACCTTTTGTGAAACAATTGGCGACCCCCTCAAAAATGAATCCTTCACTATGAGGGGGTCGATCATGTTTCCATGAAAACTGGCAAAAAGACCCCCTTGACTAGAATAGACTACAGAAAAGAGGTGGTACCCTAGAGCTGATTCTAACCTCTCTACTGGAGGACCTAGCCTTCCACGTGCCTTTTGGAGTTCCAAAGGTGGCTCCATCAAATGTTTCGGCGAGCCTTTGGATGTTTCTCTAAAGTGGGTGGTTGGTCAAGTGTTGGAAGCACATCTAGCAAGAGGCGCCTTGAGGTGCTGAGAGGTTCTCTTTCCACTCCCAAGCTGCTTCCCCTTGAGAAATGGCGCCTCCATGTGTTGTGTCCCCTATTTCGAGACAAAATCAGTTCGATTTGAGTGATTTCCTAGTTTGTACCATATGTATCTGCTTAGATATTTCGAAGGTGTGCTCTTTTCATCTTGGTGCTCCTCAAGGTGAGCTTCCTCTACTGTGGATTGGCCAACTATGCCAAGGTTTTGGGTCTTATTGGGCAGAGTGCCCGGAGAATCGCCTATTCCCTTTGTGTACTTTAGTTGACCGAAAGTGTGATTTTCCAGAACCATGACCCAGCTCCGTCACCGAAGCTGGCCGTGTGTAATTCGTGGTTTCAGCAAGCGCAAACCTCCAATTGGCATTGTGGCCTGTACGCCTCATAGAACAAGGAATGGAGTGAAGTGGAGTGGAATGAAATGAAGGCGTGAATGCAATCATATCTACCAAAACTCTATCTGAATGCCATTTTTTCCAGATGTAGAAATTCCCATGTAAGGTGTCCAAAAAAGACGGGACGAAACTGCGAACCGGTTGGTATGCGAAGGGCTGGGCTCCTGGGAGCCCAAGTTGCAGCTTCGTTTCGATACCAAACCAAACGGGGGATGGGGGGATGGGGGGATGGGGGCTTTAGCTTTGCCGGCAGAAGGCGGGCCCTCTAGGAGTTTGTGGTTTTCCAATGACAAGGTGCCCAGAGATTCTTAAGATGGCTTATACTGGTTCCAGGGGGTTCATGGCAAGAACCAATGTAAGGCCATTATACAGAAGAAAGGGTATAACCGGTGCTCCTGGGGCTGGTTTGGGGGTAGTGAATATCATCTTAGACACACGCGCCATGCAGTGTTGGCAAACCCTGACGAAGGGAACGTAGCTGGGGGTTTGTTGACACCCCCAGTATAAGGGTTTGCTTGGTCGGACACGGTCCATACACTGTCCATGTTGGATGCTTTGACCATGGCACATACGTGTCCGTTGCAGGTACTGGAACAACCTGGTGATGGGCATGATCGGTGCCACCATTGATCCCGCAAACCTGATTACAGGCGGGCGATTGCCACAGTTGCCATTGGCACTCAATGATTGTGTCGAAAGAGCGAGCCAAACATTGGAAGCTCAGAGGCTTAAGTGCACAAACCATGAAAATTCTGGCCAATTTAGTAGGGGCTGATACTTCTTGAGTTGAAATTATATAGAGACCGGTTGTCTCATTATGCCAGAACATGCAGAAAAAAAAGAGAAAAAAAAGTTATTGGTTGCGGGCTGCTTATGTACCTTTGTAATAAGTTATACACGCAAGTGGATATTGCGGTGGTGCCTAAAACCGGGGCTTCTTTGGCCGGCGTCAAAATGACAACCAACCCCCGGCTTCTTTCATTTTGGGACTTCTCAAAACAATGGTCTTCTAAAATGGCCAGGGTTCCTGTTGGTTTCCCTTCAATTTCAAATTCCAAAAGAGGCTCATCATTTTGAGAGACCTCCATTTGCCTGAGAACTTGTGCTGCAGGTGACTTGAGCCCAGTAGCAAAACCCGGGGGCCACCGTCTTACGGCCATGGACGTTCAAGGGGGCCTATGGGGAGACTAAGGGGTCAAAATGGGTGTGTCTTTTGTAAGGTTGGACCCAAAACGGTGGCTTTCCTGTTAGTTTCCCTTCCCCCCCCCTCTTAACCCCTCAATAAGGTCTTAGGGGCTCATCAACTTGGTTTATCACTTGGCTTATCCACGGATACCCCCCTCCCCCCCTGTTAGGGGCTTATCCTTGGCTTCTCCTGCCCTTCTCCAGGGGATCGCCCCCCCCAAATCGCCACCCCCATAGCCCCCCCTTCCCCACAGCCGCCGAGATACGGCGGAGGAGCCGTTCATCGCCCAGCTCGCTCCAAGGCGTGCGGTTGGTGGACAAGCTCTCGGGACCTCGGGCGGCCGGCGTGATCCGCATTGAGGCGCTCGCTGGACGTGGGGTTTCTGGCTTCTTGCTGGAGGCTGACAAACCTTTGGTGCATGTTGCTTGGCTGTTAGGACTGAATAACTTTTTGCCAACTAATTCGGGTTTTCCGAACTAGACCACTAAAAGTTAAAAACTGTTCGCAGGGCTTCGCAGATTTTTCGCCATCGAGAAACCCCGCTGAAAATTTCCTGGGTGTCAACTGGCGGTTTGGAGTGGGCAGAATTGACCGAGGATCCCAAAGGCGAATCTGGTGTTTCTGGTGATCTGGATTGCTTCAAGAACTCATGGCTGTCTCTTTTTGAGAATGCCCCTTGTTGGATGGTTTTGAAGGGAAGCCAAAAGGACACCAAGCACTTTATGGGGGCCCCCTACGTTGCAGCACTCCCTCCAGCAAGTTGTTTGCCAATTGCGCCAGGTCTGGTTCACAGACAGCGAAGACACTCAAGCGATTGGCACCCTGCGAAAGAACGTGGAGAAGTGCCCGAAACCCAAAGCGCGACCGGAACCATCGAGCCATGATCAACTGGTCGGATGGACGGAACGATCGGGAGAGAAATTCCAGATGTTCAGACACTTGGGTCTTATTTTGTTGCGGGTTGTTTGTATTGTACCCCCAATGTTTTTCCTGGTCCTTGTTAGGGAAGGGATGTAGTTTCAAGTTGTCTTTAGGGTGTGTTGCTTGGGACATAGTTTTTGAGCTTGTTGTTCGGGTTTCTGTACCCCAGATGGTTTTGTGAAGATGTTGTTCGGCACATCGTTTCTCAATTTGTTCAGGTTTTCTGTACATTATGTTTGGTTGTGAGGATTTGTTATAGCGATATAATTTCTCAGTTTGTTGTCCGGACTTTCTGTGCCCCAGATGTTGCTTTGTTAGTCGGGATATAGTTAATATAGTTCCTCTATTTGTTGTTGGGGTTTTCTGTAGCTCAGATATGTTTCGTAGGATTTGTTGTTAGGGATATAGTTGTTCAATTTGCAGCTCGGGCTTTCCGCACCCCAGATGTTGTGTTGATAGAACGTGTTGTTAGGGATGTAGTTTTTCATTTTGTTAGGGATATAGTTTCTCAATTTGTTGTTAGGGCTTTCTGTACCCATGTGTTGCGTTGGTAGGATTTGTTGTTCGAATATAGTTTCTCAGACGTTGTTAGGTTGTTCTGTATCCCTGATGTGTTTGTGAAGGTTTGTTGTTAGGGAAACTGTTTCTCAATTTGTTAGGGTTTTCTGTGCCCTTTATGTGTTTTTAAAAGGATTTGTTGTTAGGGCTGTTAGGGATATAGTTTTCGCATTTGCCCAAGATGTTGTGTCATTAGGACTTGTTGTTAAGGATATAGTTTCTTTTCTTTCTTGTTGTATATATCCGTATCCCAGATAAGTTATTTTGCTAGGATTGGTTGTTAGGGATAGCTCCTTAATTTTGATATATGTTTTTGTACCCCATATGTTTGTGGTAGGATTTCATGTTAGAGATATAGTTTGTCGACATTGTGCATGGTTTGTTTGTGTTTTCCCTGTGCTCAGGCTGATTTTTTTAGCTCGTCTGGGCAACCCAGCTCAAAGAAGGCATCACCCTGAGGATGGGTTTCGGTTGGCGATGCTACTTCTTTGAGTTCCCGAAGCCGACGGCAAGATATAGCAAAGACGCTTCAAGAGGCGCTATCAAGCCCCTAAGAAGCGCCGATTTTTTTTGGTGCAATTGATAACCTCAGAGCTTTTTCCACCCTTCAGAGGGGGGACTTAGGGATCTTCGGTTTCGAACCTGTTGAGGCCCTAAGCTTCTTAGGGAAGAATTTTCGAGATTGTGGCCTAGGCATGGCGCACAAACTGGACGGCGCGCACGGCACGGCGCAACCGGCCAGTTTGCTTCGGCGCCGGTCGTTTGTGTGTGGCCTGGTAGGGCGGAATGGACAGCTTGTTTGATTGGGTGAACGCTCCCCGCGTGTGAGGCCATAATATTATATACACTCATGCCACATGTAGTTAGATAAGTTCGCAAAGTACCTACATACATTGCAATTGCATTTCCTTGTTTGGAGGCTTGTATGTATTCCCAGCTATATGTGTATATGTTTTCTGATAGGAGGTTTGTATATGCTTGATCAGTTTGGAGTGGACTTAGTAAACAAGTCAATCCAATACACTTGTTGGACTGATTTTGAGCGTGTTTTTTCTCGTCCACTTTGACTTTCAGAAGTGATATACACTTGCGGTTCAGTTCGGAGCTTTGGACGGTGGGATGACTGTTTGGATGTGCGCATGTTACTGCAGTTTGAATGTTTGGATGTCTAGGTTTTGTCCAGTTTGGATGTTGGTTGTTCGAGTTATCGTTGCTTTCGATGTGGCGAATCGAGCCAGTTGGCTTGCGGGGCCCAGTTGGTTCAAAAGGGCCCCGCCTTTCTTGGACCTTCTTAGCTAACGTGCTAATTGGGGACTCTTGTTGAACCACTCTTGGTTAGGGGACATCCTTATGTGGTGTTGAGTGTCATTCAAAAAACACAACAGCCAACGGTGCCCTACGGACCTTGCCATTCGCGTCAAAAAGCATCGAAGACCCTCTGCAAACAAGGAGTGGTGCTTATGTGCCCTTGCAACATCTGGGTTGCTTGAGGTTTTTCGCGCATGGCGCATGAGCTTCGGTGAACATCACCGGCCTTTGCCAAATTGGGCTTCGGGTATGGGAGACGAGCTCTAGGCTTCAACCACAAAAGCCAGCTTCCGAACTCACATTCCATGCTTCCGTGGCTCACATGGATTCCAGGTGCGGAATTTGACCGTTCCTTTCTGGTCAACGCTTGACCTTTCAGACAGCCTGGTGAGAAGCAGGCAGTTTGTGTAGTCCACTCAACCCAGCGATATTCAACGTTTTTTGGCGTGCAACAGGACTAGCCAGAATCAAGGTTGATTTTTGAGGGGGTCCTCCTGACTTTAAGTCTTCCCTAAGCAGACAGGACCCTCCATTGCAAGAGCTTTTAGGGACCGCAAAAAGGCCCATTTGGAGGTACAACGACTCTGATGGTCGATCTTTGACCCTGACCAAGCCGCTCACGTCTGCAGCTGTGTTGGAGCTGTCACAAAAGTCAGCAGCCAAGGCAGAGTGGACATCCGAAGGAGTGGCGCTTCCCCTATACCAAAACGCGTGGGGAACCCCGCAATTGAGCATTTCCCTGGAGTTGTCCCTCGAAACAACACCAAAAGGGTAGACCGAAGAAGAAAAAGAAAAAAAGGTCGAGTCTTACCGGCGGCTTTTTGTCAAGCTGTTGCCCTGTGATGGGCTGGGGAAGCGAAGCCCAACCGCACGAACCGCTCTTGGAAATCCGCCGCATGCCGTGAGTCAACGACAGCAAGGCCTCGATTCTAACATGTTTTTTTCTGAATTGAGCGCTGCACAGTCAACAGTCAGCGACCTGTCGTGTTTGTTTTTCCTTTTTGCTGCAGCCTTTTTGTGTTTCTTGTCTGTTTCCCATGTACCCCTCGGCGTTTCTGCCCCTTTGGTGAGAAGACATACAACGCGGCATGGCGCTGGCGCGCGCCATCACATTTTCGCTGGGCATTCTGCTGGAGGCCAAGAAGGTGGAGCGCCCTGGACGCAGGTGGCCCATGGGAAGCGCCTTTTCTGCCCTCTTTTGCCATATGTGGCTATGAATTTTAACGGGGACCCCCTCCCAAATGGTTGGTGGACATAAATCCGCACCCAAATGATGTCCACCAGAGGGCCCCTCAATAAGAACCACTCAGATAATTACCATATCTTGGCATTTCCCAGCCATCCAGTTTTTAGCTGTGTTTTCAGCTGGTCCAGTGGGGAGTTCCACATAAGCCACTAAAAGATAGACTTTTAGCGGGGGATCTGAGGACAGCCCAGATATGAGTCACCTGAGACCAGCAGAAAACAATGGTGGTTGTCCCTTGGGTTTCCCAAACCAACCTCAAAAAGGGTACCACAATCCAAACCGCCATTTGTTCTGGTCCTCTGTTTTGACACAAAACCTGTTCGAGACATACTCTTTGTACAACAGTCATGATTTACCTTCCCTCCAGAGCCTATACCTGAAAATGCCACCTCCTTGCTTTTCCCTTGAAACCAACAAAGAAGGGGTGCTAACTCTGACAAATCCCTTTGAAAACCAACAAAAAGCTGTGGTAACTCTCAACAAACAGAGGTACAAAGAGGTGCTAACTCCAAAAAGTCCCTTGAACACCAGCAAAGAGAGGTACAAAATTCAAAAAGTCCATTGTATACCAACAACAAGCGGTACAAAAGGATGCTTGCTCCAAAAAGTCCCTTGAACACAAATTCAGGCACTACCTCCAGAAAGTCCTTCGAAAACGAACGAAAAGAGGCTCCGACAAATCCCTTGAAAGCCAACAAAAACAGGACACAAACTCCAATCACTCCCTCAAATGACCAACACAAAAGGGGTACTAGCTCCAAAAGGTTCCTTGCCAACCAACCACAAAGAGGTGCGAACGCTTCTGCAAAACGACCCGCACCCATCTCCGGTCAGAGTCTCCAGAGCCTATACCTGAAAATGCAAACTCCTTCGTTTTCCCTTGACAACCTTCAAATAAGGGGTGCTAACCATTGTTTGTTGGTATTTACAGGGGAATCATCATTCCATGGTTTCTTAGGTGGTGCAGGATTTCGTCCATCCACAGTAGCTCTAAAAGGCTACAAAACGCGGCACCAACCAACTCCAAACAGTCCCTTGCAAGTCAACAAAAGAGGGTGCCGACAAATCCCCTGAACACCAACAAAAACAGCATACAAACTCCACTCACTCCCTCAAAACCAACACAAAAGTGGTACTAGCTCCAAAAAATTCCTTGCAAAGCAACAAAAAATGAGGTACGAACTCCTTAAAGGCAACAAAAAGAGGTACGACCGTCAACCAAAAAAAAGCGACCCGCATCTATCTTCGACGCCCCGCGCCCCGCGCCTCTGGGCGCCTGCCTCTGAGGTTCTGGCAGAACTGCGCGGCCCGGGGCTTGTGCGACGTCGCCTTCGAGCGCCGGAACCCCTCCGTACACCAGGCGCCCGAAGGCGCGGAAAGGAGTTCGGACCACTCGGAGGTCCGCGAAGTATGCAGCAGGGGTCTGGTGGTGCAACCTTAAATTAGATACATGTTTCAAGATATAAATATATATATATATATATATGTATATATGTATATGCATGTATATCTATATTGGTCACCTTGCATGGGTTTATTTATTTTAAGGCACTTCGATGTTCAACTTGGATATTCCTAAACGGGTTGACCTTCCACCCTAGGGATGTTTGACCCCAAGAGAATGGCAAACAATCCAGCTTGGATGACGACAATCACAGCTTGTGCGTCCTTTCCCCATGTGGGGGTTGATCACAAGGTCCGATAAACATGGGACGGCCAGCATGAAAGCCACCAAAAAAAGATGGCGGTCATCACATGGGAAAAGTGACCCCTTCAACCCCCTTGGCTGGAATGATGTGCGAGTGCCTTAAATATTTGTGGGTGGTTCTCAAAAGTGGGTGGAGTTTCTCCCAAATGGCAACGGTGTCCTGGTGATGTCCTTTTGTGCTACTCAAAAGGGATCCTCCATTTTGGGAAACCCGAATTTTGGACTTCCTCAAAAGCAACCAAAAGGGCGCCACCCCCCTCCCCCACCCCCCCGAAAAGAAAGCAACAAAAAGCCCTATGGCCATCAGTTTTGGAATTTGTTGGGATGTTGCGAAGGGAAACCAGATACACTTTGGGAATATAGCTTTTGGTCTTGGTCTTCCAACGGCCCTATACCCTTTGTGAATGGTCAAGCATTACCTCTTTTTTTCCAACATTGGATCATCATTGGGAACGACTTTGTGGGACAGAAAGCAATCCAGTGAGGCGAGGAATGCGTTGGTGGCGTGCCTTCTTGTTTGGAGTTGGACCACTGACCCTTGTGCTTAGCGGCCTGGCCTTCGCTCATTGCCCCCAACTTTCTCGAGTCTTCTTCGGGCCGGGGTGATGTCTCCGGTAGAACTGAGTCAAACCTCCCCGAGAAAACAGAGAAAAAGGGTGACTTCGAGCCCTAAGATCCCACGCCAAAGTCCGAACGCGGCAAAACACGGCGTCAAAAAAAGAGACGCAGTCGAGCTCAGGTCTCTAAGGTCCAACGCCAAAGTCCGAACACCAGGAAACATCACGACTGAAGCCCAGGCTGTTCCCGGTCCGCCTGAAAGTCCCCCAGACGTCTCCGGTCTCCGCCAGCAACCCCCGCGAGAAACTTTTCTTCGAAGCCGCAGGGGCGCCCAAGGGCCACCTGAAGCCTTTGGGCCATCCGGACTTCTTGGAGTCCTGGGCCGGCGAGGCCGACAGAACCGCTTTCTTGCTGCTTGCTCTCGGCGGGGTGAGGGGTGAGGGGTGAGGGGGGGGGGGGGGAAATGATGTGGTCGTTGATTTTTCCACGTTCTTTGGGGGGGTACTCTGCAAAAAGGGTAGGAAAGCAAGTGGTGTGGTCGTTGCTTGTTTCTTTGCCCACGTCGGGGGAGGGGGGGGGGTTCTTTTGGGGATTCTTTGCGGGATCCTTTGCCCGTGCGTACACTGTAGTTTGTTTCTCAACGGACTTTCTTTAAAAGGTACTTGGTTTCTTTCGGGGGTACTGCTTTAATAGTGTAGCTGATTTCGTTGCTCCCCTTTTCACTTGTTTATCAAACCAACAACCGACACAAACATGTTTTTTCCCCCGGTTGAGCAGTGAAAGAAGGCGACAGGGCCTTGTACAGGCACAGTATATGTGCTGGGACAACAGGTTTGTGAGCAAGCGTGCCGTTTTTTTTTAATGAAACTAGACCTCTTTTACATTCAGGGCGTTGGGAAACCCAGGGCGTTGGGAATGATCCCAGAATACCTTGAAGGAAACCACCCAGCTGGATGGTGAATAGGGATCATGTCCACCTCATTGCACCAGCAAGAGAAGGTCCGCTTTTGATCAGGTGACCCGTAGGCGGTGCTTTGGATTTGGAGTTGAACCCTGGCTTTTGTAGAGGGTAAATGGGAAACCCCTCCGGAAACCAAACCACCAATCCAAACCACCAACGAGCGAAATGCTGATTACACGAATCTCTGAGCAGTAGCAATTCTTCAAAGGTAACAACTTAATTTGCTTTGGTGTCCATGGGCTATTTGGACTCTAGCATGTTCCTATGCCCCAGCAAATCTGGCCTGCAGGTGGACGTATTCCATGAGCCCCCGCCTCCTGAAGTGTTCTGGACAAAGTACCACGCCAAGAGGAGGCACGTTGCATGTCGGAAGTTCGCCTTGGGACGACCTCAAAGGTTGGAGTTGGGATGTTTCGATTGGACACGTTTGCCTCACAATGCTTCCCCAGAATTAGCTCCCCTTTTTGTTTGTTTTTTTGCTTTTTTGGGGTCCCCTTTGTTTTGTACTCACCAGGCAAATAAGCTCAGGTGATATCCCCAAAAGCATGCGGTGCTCTTTTTAGACCCCTCAGCCCTCGCAGAACCTCGTGGAACCCTGTTGGAACCCTGGTGGAACCCTCGTGGAACCTTACCTCAGGGCCGCCCCGGACCACCCCAGAGCCTATCTGGGCTGAGACCCCAAAGCTTTCAGCTGTTCGGGAAACAAAGCTTTTTGCTGGGGTCCTAAGTCCAGCCAAGAATGGGTGAGGTCGCCTCGGGAAGCGACAGAATCGCACCTTGTCACCCCGCGATCAGGACCCTTCGAAGGTCCCTAAGCTTTCCTCAGGGGCTGGTCGGGAGAAGCGGACCCAAAATTCATGGCTTTTGTTTGACCCAAACAAAGTCAACAGGCAAGCCCTGTTTGCACGTGCGCCCCGGAACTTTCGGTGAGCGCTGACCAGTAAGGAAGGCTATCTAAGTATATCTGGGGTGTGTCTTCTGTTGAGGGTACCCCTTTAGCTTTTTTTTCAGAATTCCTCGAGGGGGTCCAATTTATGTGTGGTTTTGGGGAAAGACACATTTACATTGATTAGACTCCTTAGATGCTTCCTTTGGGACGGGTGCTTCTTGCTGCCTTGTCTTGGAAATTTCCAGGTAGTTCTTTCCGCCGACCCCGGTCCCCCTGGCGGATTGAACTTTGAGTTCTGATAGGCATTTTTGGGCATGGTCCTCACTGTTGTTGGTATGTTTTGGGTTGTTTGGTTCTGTTCATTTTCAGCCGGGGGCTGAAAAGCTTGCTGCTACCATACCAAGGGCTGTAAAGGTGCAATGTGCGTGGAATATGCTTATTGGTATCAGGAACACCCGCAAAACGAGATGGGATCTAAAAGCCACACATGACACGACATGGCCCTGTCCCACATTCTAAACCTATCCCAGTGTGATGGACAAGTATGTAGCAAATAACTTGTCGACCGTTGAGATATTGCGCAGGCCATTCATCTTGAAGGGCGGGGCACTGCAGTCTCCAGCCATCAACTGGACCGATCAGTGGCTTGGCAAAGAAGTGCTACCGTCCGGAACTTTCCCAAGGGATCAGCTCACCACCATTTGCCGTAAAGGGCACATGGCTCACGCTCGCCAAAATTATCATAGAGAAAGGGGCTTACTGGCCAACTTTTGAAATGGCACGTTGCGAACAATCGACGTTTTGCTTGTTTTGTTTGTGTTTTTTGTTTCTCAGATGGCCGCCTTTTCCCAAGCCAAACTGGCGCGCAAGTCGCATGCCTCAGGTGCTTTGGCTGCCATGTGTTGTTGTTTTCATGAGCGCACAACCCAAAGGTGTTTTGTGCGCTGACTTACATGCAATATCTTTTTGCATGGTGAGATGCAACACTTGCCGTAGGTCCCTTTTCTTGTCGTGGCCCTTTAAAACGACCAAACAAATATGCCCTTCAAAAAAGACGAGCCACCAATATTTCGTTGAATTTTCTTTTTCAGAAGGCAAGCGCTGGCTTTGGGTCATTGAAAGGCGAGCTAGCCAGGTCCGGATGTTCTTTCCTCGGTCCAGAACCTCCAAAGTTCCCTTCAGGAGCCAAAAAGGAACATCATTTCTACAGGATGTGTCTCTTGGAGACTCCAAAACATGTTTGGGGTTTACCCGTGATTTGGGGAGTTGCGAGAGGATTTCTGACTCGCTTTGAACCAACGGCTGTCCGGCTCGTGCGCCAAGCAACGCCATAGGTACATCATGGACAACTTCGGCGATGAAGTTGCCAAGGCCGCGAGTCAGCTCACCTCTTGATGGGAACTTCAACCAAAAGCGCCTCTTTCTGCCCCACTTTGCTTGTTGCTTTCGCTGTTTGTTGCTCTTTTTGCCTGGCGACAAATGGAAGCCAACCATTTTAGGGGATCCCTATTTTGTGAAACTCCCATCGCCATTTGTCGCTCTGCAGGTCCTTGGCAGAGACAGACCTGACCGGTTCCATTTGTTTTGCCTAGATGAAGCAAATGGAACGTCGATGGATCCCTTGGCACGGAACCTTGAAGCTTTCGGGACTGATGGGAAACGGCTGAAAGACATACCCACGACAATGTTTGATAAGTCCCGAGTTCCTGGACGTTACACTTGTTGCTTCGTAGTGGCAAACAAAGAGTTTCGAGAACTTCTGGCCAGTGCACTGTGAGGGTTCCATCTTGCTAATGGTAAACAAAGACTTTGTCGGTATTTCTGGCTCCACTTAGGGGAGGCGTGTGCAATGGGGCCAACTTCCTGGCGGGTTCCAACTCCAAGGGACCCATGGCGAGACATTCGAAGCCGAGAGGAAGCCGAGCTGCCGGTAGGAAATGCACCGATTTCAAGCAGTCCTCTCCCCCTAATAAACCGTCCCCCCAGTTGTGAGAAGGTTGATGAATCGGAAGAAGTGATTAGTTTTCGAAACATCTCCGAGTTTTTTAGCGTGGCGCTAGGACGGACCGCACTGTGAAGGACTCAAATGGTGTCAATCTTCCGGAAATCCAATCCAAGGCTTCACACTGGCTGGTCTTATTTTGGAGTTGGTACTTTCTTTTTGTGGTTTTAAAAGAGAACCATGAGGAAAACCACATTTTTTGGATGGGTTCGGGGGTCCCCCAAAAAAGACCCACCCACATCGAACACCATTCAGCATTGTCTTTGGTCTGCTTCCGAGCTGAAAGCAAAAGCCACCTCGTCTGTGTCACGAGGTGGAGTGGCGAAACGAGGATCGTCTCACAGACTACTGCGGCCAGAAGATCAAGGGCAAGTTCATACATTGCCCCAGCGCCACTTCGGCTGCAAGCTGATGAGCCGCGGTTGATGCGTGGCTCATTTGCCGCCGAAGCGATGAGAATTCATGGCGCTTGCGTGTCATGTGGGGTCATGAAATGAAGCATTGCATGTTTAGGCACTTGTTGTTTGTTTGGTGTATTTTGTTGCGTTTGTTTGTTGTTTGTCTTGCATCGTTTAGCTGTGTGCGTGTGGTGTGTGGTGTTGCTTCTGCTTTGTTCCGTTTTTCTGCTTGCTTGCTTAACTGCTGTCTTGCTGCTTGCTTGCTGGCTTGGTGACTGGCTGGCGTGCTTGCTTACCTGCCTGCCTGCTTGCTTGTATTCTGTTTGTGTTCTGGCTAAGGGGAGCAAAGTCGCTCGCAGGCTGCTTCAAGGGATTGCCCGCGTTTCGCTTTTGCCAGGGCTCCAAGGCAACTGACCCCGTTGCAATCAACTAGCACAAGTCGCTCCCACTAAGACGGCACCGTGGGTTTCCTGGCAGGGTGGTTTATGAGGCGCGGTGCACGAGGCCCCAGAGTCTAGAGGGTCTGGAGCTTGGGTCCATGTATCTTCCCGTCCAGGTACTCAAAGCCTCAAACCTGCCCAACGAATGTTGTTGTGAACCTCAGGACCCCCTTGACCGTGCTCTGGGATGGTGAGTTGAACTTCAAATCGGAAAGGTTTGGATCCAACTGCCTCGAAGTCTAGATGCCAGAATGCAGTTGCTTCAAAGGAAATCGCCCTTGCCCAAAGCAAATCGACCTTTCAACCTTTCAATGTGTCCCCTTTTTCGGTTCCCAAATTTTCGTCACGGCCCCAGAGGTGATCGCCTTTTTTTTCCGTACGTTCAAGCGCAACTTAGACATGTTTTGGTGTTTTCTCCCGGCTCGGCCCTGGCGTCTTCGAAGCGTCACCGCCGCTTGAGGACACCATCCCCTACGTGGAGTCCCGCACGAGCATCCGGAACTTCATCCGGCAGAGCCGCCAGGAGGGGCCAAGACCGCCGCAGCTTTTTTTTTTGTTTTTTTCGTTTTCGGCGCCCTGAAGAGGGCGGCTGGTCTTTTCTGTTTCCGAAGGCGGGAAGCTATGGATTTGGGCGCACTTTTTTTTTGGGCGACAAGGGGGAGCCCTCCGGAATTCCAGGGGCTGCACTTTGAGAGCTTTTTTGGGGAAGACCATGTTAGTGGCGAATGTGCAGTTTGGACTTCTTTTGTCGAATCCACACAGGAAGTGAGAGATAGGGTGTGTCTTTTCTTAGGATTCGGCCCTCAAAACGGCACAACGGTTGTCCCTGTAGTTTCCCTTTAGAAAACGGCTCCGCAAAAACGGGTCCCTCACCAAAGACGCTACAGAGCCAAACAATAAGTGGCAGTTCAACGTAAACCATCAGTAGATTGCAACCTTATGGAAATCCAGTGACCCCGGTCCCTTGTTCACTTGCACCCTTTTGCCCTTGTTAATTTGGTACTGGGCTGGGTTGACCCTTCAACTTGAGTCAACCGAAGGCGCCACGAAGAGAAGCCGAAATGTTAATGCTGGCTATGAACCTAGATAGACTTCCCGAGCCGGTGGACTTTCAGATTCCGTATTCAGGGGTCGCCTCCAAGGGGTGCAACTACACATTTGGTAAGAGCTTGGCTATTTTCGGAGTGATGACCTCAATATCTGGGGTCAAAAGCCATGCTGGTCAACTTCAGACCCAGGACCCCGAGTGGGCCAAGTACATCATCTCGCAGATGCCGGACAACATGGGCAAGGACGCCTGCGAACAGCGCGACCGAGAAGTCGTTTAGGGGACCATGTTGCCCAGAATTTGAGGGATTCCCCGAAGCAAAATTGACCAGCGAATGAGTGCGTTCTTCTTCCCCATGGCCACCGGGGGGGGGGGGGCATGACATGCCCTTAACATGAGAGTGCTTTGAGGCATGTAGCCAAAAGGGACGATGTGTGTATATGCATATCCAGACATGTCGAGTGCCATCTTTGCGACGTAAGGGGAGGTGTGCTATCACCGGATAAGCCTTCGTAGTGCTTTCATTTGGAGTTGCCGATCTCTGGTCAGTGCACTAATTTCCTTCTCCGAGAATGCACTTAGCATACTGGCAACGTGTTGATTTACCGGAAGCATTGCACCTGCCGGACCTGCGTGAAGCCAATCCATGTGGCTGGTCTTTTTGCGGACTTGGAACCTGGAAAACACGGCGAAGGGCTTTTTGCTTGGGCTGTGAAAATGAAGCTCTGGCATGCGGAGTTGAAAGCCCACATGACATGGCTAGGAATTTTAGAGGAACCTCTCCACAGTTGGTGGACATCAAGCCTCAGCTAAATGATGTCCACCAAAGGGACCCTAGGTAAAATTCACTCCCGCGTGTTTCTGTTCTGGGGCCTTGACTTCCCGTTGTAGAACGTTTGAGTGTGTATACCGTCAACTCAGACTGTCAGGCTATTGAGCCACGAGGATGTTGCTTGATTCAGGGAGCCATGTTGGTGTCTTGCACTGCACTCTATGCACGGTGCAGCTGATTGAGGTTGGAAAGTAAAGCTCGCAAGTCCCTCTAAAATCCGCCAAGCAGAAGCAAACCACGTGTTAGATGTCGGTAGGAAGTCGTTCTGTTTCGTTGGATAGATTGTCCATACAAAGCATCCAATCTGAAAAGAGCAATCTTGGGCAATGTTGACGCTCTTTCTGTTCCTTTGCAAGTACGTCCTGTTGGTTTTTGTGGGCACCCAGGGGATGCTTTTATATTACCCGTACCAGGTGATTCAACATATTTACCCATAGGCGGGCCCATAGGATTCTACTATGACCGTCTGGGCTTCTTTGCAGTGATATATGTTTATGGGCTACACCGTTCCTCCACGGATTCTAAACGGGTTCCGAGCAAAGCTGGAGCAGGTCGCCCGGCCCAGGAGTGGAAGGCGCCTGGCTTCTTCAACTGCGGACGCCGCTATGAAGGCGACAGGAAGAAGAACAAGCGCCTCGGCGAACACGTTGAGGGTGAAGGGTTTAGGGCCTTGTTGCCCAGTGGTGCCTTTCTTTCAACTTTTGTTGAGTAAGGGTTCCAGTTCCTTTCAACTCAGCCAACAAAAAAAGGTGCCCTTTTTTCCCATGGCGACTGGGCATCTGAGAGGGGTTGGTTGCTGTTTCATTCTTTTCAACCATCGCTTCTTTTCAAAAAACGGAAAGCCGTTTTCAACCTGGGTTTCCAAGGAGTTTTTTAGAAGGAAGGATTCCTGGAAAGAAAGGGGCAGGTAATTCTAGAAGTGCAGCCAATAGGAGGAGCGCTCGTGTTGGTAACGAGTGGCTCATGAACATGGCGCAATGCAGCCTCAACAATGGTTGGTGGTGAACGCAGTGATCATAGCGTTTAATGTTCCTTTGGGGACCCTAGTCTGTTTATCCCAGACCTCATTTCGTCTTTTGGTTGTGTTATGGGCGCCCCAAAAATGCTATGGGCATCATGTACCGGCCCTTCTCTTGGGCTCTTTGAATGATTGCAACTCGCTCAGGACTCAGGTGGGCGGCAAGTCTCCAAATAACCTCCCCCCAAGCCAAAAATGGAGAAAGAGGAGAAGGTGAACGGCGCGCAAAAGGGGTGAGGTCGCCAGAAGGGACAAATACTGAAAAGCAGCTGAACACTCGGGAGAACTGGATTCGGAATGGTTTAAGACTCGGTTTCCGGAAGCCGTATAAGCCGATGAATCGGGGTGTCCCTGAGGCCATGGATGACTCAGATGCGACCTGGAGAACTGTGCGCGCCGTTTTTTTGGGGGGACTGACCCTGAGCTTGGGACCTCCAGGGCCATGTCTCAGTTGCCCTTCAAAGGGACCCAGCAATACAAAAAGGTTAGTATGTTGGTATGTTGGGGGTGGGTATGGGTCAAAATTCAGTCACCGGAAAACAGCAGGTTCTAGTCCATGCTTCCATTTACCAGGGCAACCCATTTTGGGGTTTCCCAATTTTTGACCCACAGCGGGGTGACTAAACATGGTTGCCCAAACAGGAAAACCACAAGGTCAACAGGTCGACTTTGGGCCAGTGACTTGCACCAAGGTTCTTAGGCTGCGACGGCAAAGCAACCGATTTGGGACAAAGGAACCGATACCCCCACAACGGGTACTGCGAAAGGCAACGCGTTGGACTGCCACAAAGCGCAGCGGCTTTCATTTGTTACTACCACTAAGAAACGGCTGCTGGGGCCGTTTCTCTTCATTTCTTGAATGCTGTCTCCCAAGATGCAGCTGCTCACTCTTCCTTGTATTTTCCCTTGAAACAACCCGCCAAAGAATACCGAGCCTCCCAAGACAGATACGAGCAAGCGTGGTTGTGGGCCGGCCATACCCCCACCCCTGAAACGAGCTCCTAGCGGTGGGGGGGGGGGGGGTTGGCAAGCGATATGACACATCGCCGCAGTACCTGGATGTACCTCAGATGCCTAGTGGCCATGGAAAAAAGGGCATCCTTTTTGGGTTGGTTGAGTTTAAATGGGCACCCTTCCAGCGAGTCAGGAAAAAACGGGCGGAATCCGCTGGGCAACTGAGGCACTCTTCTTGGGTTTGTTTTCCAAGAGAAGCCAAGGGATACGTGGTTTCACGACTTTTGGCTCCGGAAGATTCTGCCGATTTTGAGACAAACCCATTGTTTGCTCCAACATGATCAAAGAGCTGATTTCTGAAAGTAAGCAGAGGAAAGAACGCATCAGCTGGGAGCCCGGGCCCCACAACAAAGTTTTCCAGTTGCTGGAGTTCCATTTCGAGAATGGTTTGCCAGCTTGGCTCAAAGAAATAGGCGCCTTACACAGAAAGTGGTAGGAGTTTCATATTTAGTCACCCCCCCCGGAATAAACACATCATCTTGTGAAACCCCAGCCACTAGAATGGTGGATCTTGCCTCAATCTTTTCCGGGACCGGTGCCTCACCCCCAGGGCTCAAAGGTCCCAATGGATACCGGTATCCCAATGGAACCGAATCTGCGGAACCCTCCTTGAACTCCAAATCTCCATAGCTGTCAGCGATCAACGCAAAAAGGAGACGGATATGTTGTTGCAATCACAAATGGCGTGTGTGGTCTAGAGGAGAAAGAATTAATCATTTTAAAACGGTGATAGGTTCATCGAAACCTTGGTTGATCACGGTTCTGTTGATTTCCTGGACTATTTGAAGGAATTCATTTCTCCAAAAGAGCTGGGATTTCGGGGGGGAACCCTCCAACAAATGTGTCTTGTTTTTTGGGGGTACCCCCAAAATGACGGCTTTTAACTTGGTTTCCCTTTAACACAAAACAACACGGAACCTTTCCTGTGAGTTTCCTTTAAAACAAGACAACTCCACAACCTTTGAGGGCTTTTGCTGTGGTTTCCCAACAAAAACAACTCCACGGGGTAGATGTCACCCGGAGGGATTCGTTTTCGCCGAGGTACGAAAACGACTTCTGGTACCTGCGGGTGCCGCCCGGGAAGATGGGCACCTCCACCATCCACTACGCCCCTCGGCATCCTCGGCTCGGGCGGCTCGCGGTTCGCTTCGGTTCGGATGGAAGGCCGAAGCGCAGCGTTGTGCGGGGGACGCCAAGAACCCAAGTGGGCGTGGCTCAAAATTAAAGGACCCAGGGCAGATGGCTGGGAGAAGTGTTAGTTATGCAAGGTGCTATTGTTTTGTACATGTTTTTGAGCCACAGCCAAGTTTCAGGAGAAGAGCATGGAGATGTCTCTTCTTTGAGACCCTTTTTTGGCGAGTTTAAAGGACCACCAGAGAAAAAACCACGAATTCAGTGTCTCCCCGAAAGAAGGGCGCGCCCAATGAAATCATTTTACAGCCTTAAAAGGCACACACACACAGACACCCAATGAGTATGTAATTGTTTAGCCCCTTTTATGATTCCCAGATTCCCAAGAATTCTTGAGCAGCATTCGAAAATTTTGTCAGCACTTGCTGCTGAAGAGGTTATGCGCTATGCCCGTGGCAATTTAGTTTGTCTCCTTCTGTTTCCTCATGTTGTGTTATGTTGCTTTGCGATCTTGCCAAGGACATGAACCACCAGGTCATGTGCGGCTCGGCCGCTATTTAGCTGAGCTGTCGTATGCTAACACAGTGGATGCGACTTCACAGGTCGGTGCTCCGGCGAATCGATCTAGGGATCTCATGAGAAATATCTTGGTTTGTGGCACTTGCACAGTGGACATCGAGGTATGATGGCTGGCAAGAAGGAGTGGATCATGTGGGACCTGCAGACAGAATCAAAGAAGGTCCCAATGTGCCTTGGAAGCAAAGCATCAATGCCGGCGGGCGGAAGGTTCGGCCACCAGTCTGGCACATTTGGGAGGGACATGGGCGACTCGCTGAATTTCCCCACAAGAAAACAACGGGTTCCATGTGTTTTTTTGGGAAAGCAACTGCCCCAGGCAAAACCCACCGGTTTCGTAGGACATCGAGAAAGTCTTTCGCTGGGCCCCGGCAACCACCTCGGGTCGGCTGGACCTGAGGTGGCTGTGGGGCACAACCAATGAGATCCCATTTTGGGGTAGGTGAATTCACCACCCATTTTTGGACCTATTTTTAGTGGTGGGAATTGGTTGATGTTCACTGGGGGTACGGAATTTTGGATTTTGGCCCATCAGGTGGAACGAGTACTACAACCCGCCGTCCAAGGGCAGGCCCCAAGGCGGGGAGAGAGTTGGACGTGTCTCACGCGCTTCAGCGAGCGCGAAAGCGAGCGCGGTGCGAGAGATGCGAATGAGAAATGGAACCCTGGTGGCTCCCAGCCATCCGGTTCCTTAGCCTTTTCGCTTTTTAGTGTTTAGTCGGGATTTCCATTTGACCCACTACAAGTTAAAATTTAGCGGGGAATCTGAGGACAGCCCAGGAATGATGTCTGTATGAAAGCCATTCAACTGGTGGTTTCCTTGAAGGGAATGTTTGGGTTCATTTTGTCATTCCCTGAGCAGCAGCAAGGTTAGCTCAAAGTTTGCATCCCTGAAAACAGCAGTTCGAGTTCGCATCGATGGAGTTGTCGGACGTGGCGGGTCGTCACGGGTCGTGCGAGGGATTGGATGCCTGTCTTTGGACCCAAGGTGAGCCCCCTGAAAGGGTAAGCCACCACGATGAGTGCCTGGACCGCTGCTATTGATTCAGTCCAGGGAAGGGAATCGCCTTGGTCTTCCCACAGCAAGAAATCTATTATTTTAGCAAGTCAATGGAAGATCCAAGGACAGGAGAGTGGGTATCAGCCGATGTATTGTTGGGAAGACGTGCTTGACCAACTAGTCTATTATTGAAGCCATTTAACATCATTTAACAATATGTTGTTTATATTTATGTTGTTGTCTGCTGTTGTTGTCCCTGAGTTAAACTGGCATCCTCTTCCTAAAACCAACCAGTTGGGGGCCGACTTTGACAGCAGCGAAATAGCAGAGGGCGAAAAAGCATCTCATGCACGGCACCTACTTGGGCTGATAATCAGAACCCCCCCCAAGTATGGCTTAAGGAAGGATCTTCCAATGAAGCCTTGACACCGTCAAGGTTCTTTGTAACCTTGAGGACCCAATGCGAGCAAAGTGCCAGGCAATCTATTGCCCCTCAGAGATCCCGAGAACCTCCCAAGGGCCCTCCCAGGAAATTGCTTTCTTTAGAAGCCATTCGCCTGCATCAGGGTCCGACGACTCGCCCATCGATGGCGAGCGCAGCTCGTTCTCGCAATAAGACGCCATGTCGTGCCAAACGATACGACTTCAAGAGTATCTGGGCGCATTGGAGAGGGTTTCCAGGCCCTCCAAAGATCTGGGACCTCAAGGGCCCGCCTGTAGACCACCCTGCACACCCGCTTGTCGCAAGCTATTTGGGTTCAGTATTCGTTAACTAGTTCGGATAATGAATAGAGCATTTGTATGTCGCGGGCAATGGTGCAGACTATGTGGATGAACATCTGAGAAAAGCAGGCAACGCTGCTGATGGGGCTTTAGGTTATTTGGAGGCTGGGAAGATTGAGCGACTGCAGGACAACTCGCTTGTTTGTTTGTTTGTTTGTTTGTCTGTCTGTTTGTTTGTTTGTTTGTTTGTTTGTTTGTTTGTTTGTTTGTTTATTTCTGTGTTTCTTTGTTTCTTAATGTGTTTGTTTTACCCTACAAAACACGCAAAACAGGCGCAAACCCACAAAGTTTGAACCACACCACACCCCTTCGTTCTCATCTCACTTGGCGGTGGCCGGAGTTTGCCCAAGGCGTGGATTTGCTGCGGTGGCCTGAATTTGCGAAGGCCAAGTGGAGCAACACCACCATCGCCGCTCGCTGGAAATCAGCCCTCTAAGATGGTTTCCACCACCCACTATAAGACGCTATATACGGGTTATGTACCCCAATTTACCCTGGGAGTAGTGGTTTGGAGGTATTGGGAAGCCATCCTAGGCTGGTCAAAGGCAATCCGCCACCCCAGATTACCAGGTGAGCCACGCTCACCGCATGCCCATCCACCCAAATACCGAGGCCTTATTCCAAAGATTTGACGCTGTGACGTCCTAAGCCCGAACCCCGCCCGGGGGGGGGGGGGGGGTCTTTGGGCAGATGACTTGTAAGTGGGGGGTAGACCAGTTCAATTCTAGGTGTTGATAATGACTCAGATCCCTGTTTGCAGGGAAGGCCCTCATGAAGCTGACCTTGGAGACTAAACACCTCGGGTGCCGATTGGGTTTACCTTTAAATTTATCCGAACTCAGTGTAGATGTTTGCAACGGATAGCAGGTTGAAAGAAACAGAACACGATTTTGACGGTATACACATAAGAGTCTTCAAGCGTTTCGTCTTCGACCTCTTCGGTTTCTTTTTCACGTGCGTGTCAAAATCGACTAAGTGAGTTTGAAGTGGAGTGGATCACACCGTTCATTTGTCTTGCATTTGCCGGCTTGTCTTAACACAAGGTATTTCTGTGTTTATCCAATTCAAGGCGTGTCTTATACAAACCGAATGGATTTGGAGGCATCGCTTTGTTTTGGCCTGAGGAGAAGGGCGACTGCCTCTATACTCCGGCTCATCTGCTTCATTATGTCCGCTCCTGGCCGCTTTCTTAGCATACCGTGAGACTTTCTTTGGTCGAGGGAAAATAAGTCCAATCAGCCAAACAACACTGCAAACATCAGGTCACTTCTTGGCGTGTTGGTGAATTTGGTTCGGGGGGTTGCATGTCCTGATATATCCATGTGGGGGTATTATTTTGGGAGGAAAGCAAGGGGAAAACCACCATTTTGAAAAAGACGCACCCATGTGTGGCATGACAATTGTACCACATAAGACTGCGACATGTTCACGGGTGATAGCTACGCACTGCTTGTGAGACATGTCAACCTAGAGAGGACAAATTCATATGACCAAGCTGCTAGGCACAAATAAGTACGGAGATTGCCAGCCACTTTGGAAGTTCCAAGTCCGCGACCGTGTCAAGAATGCACAGGGCTTACGCTTAGACATGCTTCACAGCTGAAATACCGAAACGTGTTTCAGCGGTCTTAGGTGTTCCTGGAGTCTTCATGACCCTTTAAAAATGGGGCCATTACCCAAAATTAAGGGGTCATGACCCCTTTTTCCAGGGGGCGTGTGAGGGGCCAGGTTGTTGCAACAAGAGTGAGGGGCCGACAGGAACAACAAAAACCGTGGTTTGTCTCTTGTTGCCCAAGGCCTTCTCTCTGGTGCCGATGTCCTCGGAAAGGGGAGGACTGTTATCTAGGCCCCCCAGCAATTGGTGCCCTTTCTCACCCCCTTTTTTAGGTGGGGAGGGTTTCCCTACGAAAATGGACTACAGAAAAAAGGGTACCCCTATTCCAACCTCTCGACTGGAGGACCTAGTGTGACTCCACTCCAAACCAGTTGTTCAACCGACAACCGTCAGATATGCAGGTCAGGGGTGCGATCAACAAACGCGGCTCGTGAAGCCATGCAATGGCCCCTTGCCTTCCGCACCAGTCTTGCGCCGGATTGCCCATTGTGCAAGTAGGCCTACCAGACACCATCGCAAAGTATGGGGTGTTTCTCGTTCTTCGCCGTTTCGTTTCAGGCATGTGCAACCTTTAGCTGTGAGCAGCTTTAGTATGCGCCATGCTCAAAGGTTTAGCACCTGAGCTACCAGGGTTGGTTCCACCCATGCGCTACGCCTGAGGAGTGACGATCCTCAGGATCCTCGCATCATTGCATTGATGACGATGCCCCTCGCTCGAGCTTGTAGGAGTTCTTTTTAGCCCTACCTCAACGAAATATATGCAATTGGGGGATGATAAACGTCCCCTCTACACATTAGCGAGTATGTATTCGAGAACATATAGGTTTGCTTGATAGCGTAATTGTACCCAGGAGGGGATGGATGCCACCGTGAATTGCCAACCACCCCTTCCGAAGATGAGTTCCATGATTCCGCTGTAAAGGGTCCCTGGCTTCGAAACACCGCCTGACTGTGTGGCTGCTGTGCTGGGTGGAGCTATTTAGCTTTGTTTCTTTTGGGGGGTACCCCCAACATTGCTGGTGTTCCGGTTAGTTTCCCTTTGGAACCCTCCTCAGGAAGGTTCTCCACAAAAAGACACACCCATATTCTGGCTGCTTGTTTCTTGCATATTGCGGTCCAGATGCATGGCTGGGACAGAAAGGGGAATTTGCGAGGGGACACCCTGCCTCAAGACGCCTACGCACGAACAATATGTATACATGACAAATGTTGGTGGCCGAGTAGTGTTTGTTTCTTTTTCGCTGGGTTTTTCATGGGAGTTCTCATAAAGAGGTGGACCGCCAAAAGGAGAAGCGCTTGTTGTGTGTTTGATTCCTAACTTGAGAAATGCCCAGAAAGGCAGGTTTAAACTGACATTGGCCCCAATCAACTGTTTGTGTTTGTGACTTTCGCGCCGCTAACTCCTTTAAGTGACCCCCTTGATGTCCATGCTTTGGTTGGTGTTTTGATTTGTTGGGGCCAGAGGTAACGTCCCCAAAAAAGCACAAGGGAACGCAACGGAGTCCTTCGGACGGACTTCTCCTGCCTAGTTGGGCGTTAAACAAGCGATTCCGAAAATTCTGGGGGACAGGATCAAAGAATCCATGCAGGTCCTTTGCTGAACAGTTTTCTTTGCAGGTTTCGGGAGTGTTGCGGAAATTGTACATAACTTGGTTCAGTGGAATAAGTTCATGTGAGCACGATGTGTTTTTTATGTGTGTGTTTTGTACTTTAAGAAGGGGAGGCAACGGCGGGACGCTTCGAACGATTGGATCCCAGCATGCTACATGTTGGCTGCGTTTTGGGCATTGAGCATTTCGAGAATGCGGAATTTTGTTCAATGAATCTGGAGTCCACCAATGGCGTTGTTTCCGTTAATGCCTCGGCATATGTCTCACCATTGCAAAGGGGCGAGACTCCAGGAACGCTTCCTTTGCAAGGATGCATGACTCCGGCGAACGCCCTGGTAGCCATAAACCTCAAGGCAAGAGAGATGTATATTATATGTATATATATGCTCACCCCCCCCCCCCCCCATGATCCACATTTGCATGCGCACGGGTGACCATATACATTATATGTATGCGCGGAAGGCGCGGATGTGTTTGAGATTTTGTTTGCTCAAGTCCTGTGCGATATACGATGCTTAGAGACCTTCTCGTCCCTAGACCCTTCATGTTTGCTTAAGCGTCATTGGTCTTCGTTGGGGCCAACCAAATTCTTGTGTGTATGTGGCAAAAACGAATGCGTGGCAAGGGGCAAGCCGATAGATGAGGCCAATCTAGGCCAACACACGTTTTGCTGTTCAATTGGGCCGGAACGGGCAATCCGTGGAAGAGTCCAGCCTTTGCCTCCTGGCCATTTCACCGAAAGCTCAAGTCACTGCAAATCATCCGTGCCTTGGTCTTCCAAGGCCCGCAAAAACAACAGGGGCCCTTCCTGATTTTGCTCTTGGTTGAAGAAGAGAAATCGGCCAAAGGCAACTGCTTTTTCAGGGTCCTGGAAGCTCAAGACTGGGGATGTCCGAGGTTCCAGACGGAGGAGACATATGATCCGACGCACTGCGCAGACATTCCGGACTACACCTTTCTCAGCTCCTTGGGATCGAAAAAATTCGGCGTCGCGTGGAAACCATGGGCCAGAACGGGCAAGAAGCTGGGTGAATTAGAACGACCCCACACGACCGAATTCACCCCAAATGGTGGTTCATGTGGGGAATGGCCCCCAAACCCACCGCAAGTTTCAGGCTGGTAAAATATGATAATTCACCCAGAAGAAGGAAAGATGGAGAAGGTCGGGTTTGCGGCGGCTTGCTTTCGAACCGGGGCTTTCGATCGCTGTCTCCCTCTGGCATACGCTTTGGTTGGGCCAGCAGCCCAAGCACCAGACGCGAGTTCATGAACGAAATCCAGGCCACTGGCAAATGACTGTTTCTTTTTACTCGGGTTCTCAGAATGGCATGGAATGGCATCGTGGTTTATCTGATTTGCCTAAACATCAAGGAAAGGGTGCTCTTTTCACAGGATGGCCGCCGGCATTCCGGGTCATCCTGGTGTCGTTTGTCTCAAAATAGGGATAAGTTTTGGGACTGTTTGTTCTCCAACCGCCAGAACCCAACCCATGCGATATTTGTGAAAACCTCCCCTAGGAGTTTGCAAGGGACAGTCCTGGTCAACCCAGGTCCTGTTGCGTTGTTGGTGGCTTTCCAGAAGTTGTGTTCTGTTCATGGTATGGAGGCGGGAGTCCAAGCTTGGGACATGTAAGCCAGCGGTTTGAGGCTTTGGTTAGATGCGGTTGCGTTGCTTTTGAGTTTGACTGGGAACCCTTACATGGCAAGTTTGTTTGTGTGCGTGCTTGCTTGCTGGCTGGCTAGCTGGCTGGCTTGCTGGCTTTTTGGCTTGTTTGTTTATGTGTTTGTTGGCTGGTCGGTCGGTCTGTCGGTTTGTTTGGTTGGTTGGTTGGTTGGTTGTTCGCATGTTTGTACGTTTGTGTGGTTGTGTGAGTGCGTTGTTGTGTGGTCGTCTGATTGTGTGTTTGTGTGCCTGGTTGTTTGCGGTTTGTGCGGTTTTGTGTTGTTTGTGAGATTGTGAGTTTGCTCTTGGATTGTTTGTTTTGTGTATGATTTGTGTGTTTGTTTGATTGTTTCTGAGCGGGGACCCTTTGGCGGACATTATTTGCATGATAATTTTTGTCCGCCAACCACTTTGGGCATTTGTTCATTGAGATTCTTTGGATTTGTTCTTTTCACGCTAAATATACCAGAGCTTGGTTGGTTCCTCGCATAGTTCTTTGGATTTACGTTTGAAGCACCATCCGAACAGGACCCTCCCCACCCCAAATTACTCCTTGTTCCCCACGGATGGCGGGCTTCATCCCTGGCTTTGGCGCGGTGTTTTGGGGCAGATGAGGTGAGTACGACGTCATGTGGGGTGAGTTCCCGGGGAGCATGGAGGTGCCGCGGTGCATGAACCACGTCAAGACACTCGGAGCTCAACAAAAACTCATTTGTGACTCGATCTGTTGTCCGGAAGCGAAAAGGTGCATGCAAGTGTCTGCGCCCAAAGCCTTCCGATTTCTTTGGGACTACGTTTTTTTTGACTTCATCCGATATTTATCTTGCGCACCGACCCAGAATCTGTTTTTTTCTTTTGTGTCTTTGGTCCTTAAAGCACAGCGAGAAAGATGTGCACCAAGCGCTGTCCCAACCTTGGTCTTCCAAGGGCCCGCAAAAATAGGGCTCCAAAGGCAACTGCTTTTTCAGGGTTGTTGGGAAACATTTTACATGTTTGCTTATTGTGGTTGAGTGGTGGAAATCCATCCCGACTGAACTGCTAACATTTGAAGAATTTGTTGCTCCCCAAGCCCAAACCGTGAACCAAGTTTACCCTAGGGTTCAGTTACCATCCAAACAACGGGGGGTTCAAAAAAAACCGACATGGTTTTTGCCTAAGGATTTTAGGGGCGGAATCCGAAGAAAGGCGGTGGCCTTTGCGGGGTCGCGGAAGTGGGTCCTAACCGGGGAGCCAGAAACCGCTCTCCGCAGAACCGGCGTTTTGGGTAGTTCCCTCTTAAAGGAAATGTATGTTTCTGGGTCTTTCGATTTTGAGACCGGGGGTTGAGTGTGACTCAGGTTATCGAGTCGAAGCTGAGGATCTGACGGGTTTTGGAAGGCGAAAGCTTTCCTTTTAAAGAAGCCATGCCCACTGATTCCCCGAGCATTGTACGGGCGTTACGGGAGCAGGGATTTTTTTGCGAGCCATGGCGATTTGTGGAGGAGTCTTTCACAGGATTGCGTCACTGTTCGCTTCTAGCTGCACCCGGGCGTAGAACTGTTGAGTATTGGCTGAGCAGGCAGCGTCCCGCGGCCTGTTGGCCTCCAACAAGCATGTGAGTGGCTGCAGGACATGCACCAACAGGTGACCTGGGTTGTGTCAACGAACCCTTGGGAGATCTTACAAGCAAGAGCGATAAGCTGTGTGGATCAAGGTGTTTCAACGCAGCAAGCTATTATTTTGCATACCTGGACCCTCAAAAAGGAGCATGTTTTTGCTTAGTACGTGTTTGTTGCTTATTTCGCCAAATGAGCGGAATTTCCGAAATCTAGGCGGAAACTGCAAATTGCATGTTTCGCAACGATTTCCGCTGATTTAGCCTGATCTTATACATCGACCAGCGTTTCTGGAAGGGCTTTCATGCGGGCACCTTCCAGAATAGGAGTGGGACACATAGGTTTCCATGACATGGTGCAGGGATGCGCCCCAACCCCAAACAAGGTGAGGTTCAGCTAGGAAATTGCCCCGATTTGCCACAAACTTGGCCACCCAAAATACGCGGAAATCGGCGGGAAATACGTGGAAATCGGCGGAAAATACGCCGAAATCGACGGAAAGGCTAAAAAACACTTTGTTAAAACTTTCCTGTGTCGCTTGAACAAGTTGCGGACTGGGCACCAGTCCTATGTGGCTCTCATGTGCAACAGGGTAGTTTTGAGGACTGTCCGCAGGTTGAAGGTCCTGAGTTCGTAGGCTTAGAATTGACCATGGAATTGATGAGGGCCAAGTAGTGGCTGGCAAGCAATCATAAAGAAGTCGAACCGAAATTCGCGATGTTTGTGCAAATAAGCGATTTTTCCAACAATTCGTGTTATTTTTGCTTTTTGAGGAAAATGTTGTGAAATTGTTCTTAAAGAAGTTCTAGGTATCTTTACTCTGTTGCCCAGCGGTGCCTTTTTTTCCTTTTTGTGTGTAAGCGCTCCTTTTAAACTCAACCAACGAAAAAGGGGTGCCCTGTTTTCCCACGGCCACTGGGCATTTGAGTTTACACTCCCGGTTGAAGATGTGACTTTCTCATCGCCTCCTGCATGTTGCCTGAATCACATCCCCAGCACAACCAACCCTACGGATGTGAATGGCAATGTGGAGAACTTTGTGGAAAGAAGCAGCCATTGTGTTTATCCTGAGTCTGCTGAATTCTGTTTGAGGGTACCCTTTTTAGCTTGGTTGACAGGCACGCACCATCTTTAGGGACGTCAATATGTTGGCTTAATTATTCTGCAGGAGTGTACTGGCAGGGCATTGGGGCATTCGCATTTTGCATGGGATACACAACTTTCGGCCAAGGTCTGTTCCTTGCTGCCCAATTTACGGGTTTCGAGCTCACATGGTAAAACGGGCCAAAGCAACGTCGGACCTTTGCCTGGGATCCAATTCACAAAGCATCATTTCACCTGCACAGTCTGGATCTCCACCGGGCCCCAAAAAGGCCATCTCTGTAGACCGGTCCTTAGGGTATGGCAACATTCCAGGGGTGCCTTCCATTTCCATTCTTTCCAGTGATCCCTCTTTCTAGAAAACCTGCTCTAGAACCCAGGCACATCGGCTGTTTTTTGACGAGAACGATGCTTGAAAATGGAAAATCAACCGCTCGAAACCTGTGCAGATGCTTGCGCATAAAACCGCCGCATCTCAAAAAACCGACCGCGGGGCCAAGGATGGGGTATCCGAACTGGCAGCGTGGCCGGCATCGCATGGGCCGTCGGATTTTGCGTGGGTTCCCCCAATTCGAGACGATCACGTATGGGCATGTCTTGTTTTGGGGAAGCCCCCCAAGACAAATGCGTGGTGCTTTTCCTTGTGGTTTCCCCTTAAAACCAACGAAAAGGGTTCCCTTAAAATGACACACCCACTTTTTGTTCTGATTTGGAAGCCGGACGAAGCATCACATGTTGGACCGTTTGCGTGCTGTTGTGTTCTTGGTCCAAGGGTTTCTTGTTGATTCTAACAAAACCGTCGCCCTCCCTAAACTTCCCACTCAAACATCGCCCGCCCTCAAAGGACACCTTTTTTTTCCCAAAGCGAATCGTCCCGTTGACCTTTGGGTTTCCCCTGTGTGGCCTGGCCCCGAAAGGTCACGCAAATCCTGGGTCCTGTGGGGGTGCCCTTGAAAAGTGGCCGGTAGTGCTTTTGTTGTGCCAAGCGAACCATTGGGGCAGCATAGGGGTGCACTGAGATTGTGAAACAGTCACGCAAGAGAGAAATCTGGAAGTTTGACTCGACCAGGAGCAAACACAGAAATGTTTCCCCCTGTCAACTACAACCATTTGCTCTTTGCAGAGGGTCGAAGACGGCGAAAGCGTGTGCACGCCATGTCCGAGGAATGCGGGTCTTGCTCGTTCGATGTGTTGGTGATGCTCGTAAGTGGGAGCAAACCCAAGCGCAGATACCCATCGGAAGGGGCCAAATCGGACCCCCCAACAGAAGGCTTGCAGAATTCTATCAGAATCGCTACCCGAAGCTCTGAGAACCAGCGTCTCAGGAAGCGTTCGCTAAAGCTCCTGGCGAAGAAGGAAGTCGGCCTCCCGGCCAAATTCGTCTGAACACGCATCCCCCCAAGAATGGTGTCCCCGACTATACACCAGAAACCCTCAGGTGGGTTTCTTGGGGATCTTCTTGTATGTGAAAAGAGTTTCTTTTCTGGCTTGCCTTCGTGTTTCTCGGAAGCACTTCCTCTAAGCGCAATGCCACGGGCCAGGGGACACCTATTTGCCAGTAGATTTAGGTCCTGTGGCTTTGTCATTTGAAGCATTGCAGCTTGTTGAAGCGTTGCGTCAATGCTGGGACCCTTATGGGGATTTCAGCGCTGGCCCCCGGCATGATGGTGCGCGCTGTCCGAATTCGTATGCGCAGGCGCGTCGAAAGGTTAGACTACTTCATCCCGGAGGCATAGGTTTAACTTGTGCATTGATTTCCAGGGTCATTTTGTACAAAGCTCGATCGGATCACAACTGTTCGAAGAAGCGGTGGGCCTTTGGGCGTTTGACTTAGGGTTCCCTAGAGCTGAAGAAGAAAAACAAGAAACCTTGCCAAGCTCCCTTGAAATGACGCAGCCATACGCAGCCGAATCTGCTGGCTACGCTGTTTGCACCATCGAATCGCAAGCCGTGGCATCGAAACCGAAGGTTGATGGACTGGTGCAACCGTTTTGTGTGTTGACGGATGGCATATTGCATCACTCGGTGTATGTAAAAACCAGTCGCCCGGCGCGCAACGCGCAGTGAATCCCAGATTGGACACATCCTCTCACCAATCCTAGCATTGACTCTTTGGGTCGATTGAAGCAACAAACTCGCTGGAATCAGATCCTAATCCAAGCCAAGCTGTAAAGTGTTGTATCGTTCTCTGGCTTTTTCTGGGTGCTAAATCCCCTATAATTGAATGAGAGGCCAATGTCCCCAGCCCTGCGTTTCTCTACACTATACTGTAAAGTGCTAAATCCCTTATAGTGCTAAATCCCCTATAGTGCTAAACCTCCTATTTCTGGGTGCTAAATCCCCTATTAAATCATCCCCCGACAGCCCAAAGGAGGTGGATACCGTTTCGCTCGGATTCGCAGCGCCGGATTCTAGTTGGTGTTTTTCCTGCTTGCTTTTTTTTAAGCACCCCGGCCCAACATGACTTCGGTTGTCCTTTTGGTGTCCCTTGAAAACCAATCAACAAGAAGGGAGCCAACTCCAAAGAAGACAACACCTGGTTGTACTTCAATTCGGTTGTTTTCGGTTTTAACCAATCAACAAGGGGTACCGAGCCTCAAAGCAGACGACTCCTGCATGGTACGTTTCATCGTTTTGTTTTTTTTGTTTTTTCTTGAGGCGAGAAGGCCTTCCTCAAGTTCTTCACCCGGGAGGGGTATCCCAAGAAGCTGGCCAAGGCGCGGTCGGCGAAGAGAGATAAGCCCTTCGTCGAGTTGGATGGGTGGTTTCGGGGTTTGATACTCCCCCTCCAAACCAAGCCACACAAACCAATTTGGGTAAGGCGACCTATGGTTGGTTGTAAAGGGGGGGGGGCTAAAACCCAGTAAGCTCGAGTCAGCTAAGTTTACAACCTTACATGGCCTTTGTGTTCAATAAGCGGCCTTCAATTCACCTTCTCTGGAAAAATGGCGAAAATCTGGACATCTGCACCCGGGACCAAAAAAATCCGGAAAATGGTGGAACAAATCGGGGAAACAGGTGTGCCGCCCTTTCCAATCCACTCCCGTAAAAATAATGGTTTCTCCAAATGGGACCCGCTTGCAGTACCGAAGCTTCAAATTCAGACTCCCGCCTTCCAAGGGTCCACGGATGCCACTTGCAACTTGCGCGATCGGCTGTGCTTTTTGACCCCGATTCAATGGCTGACATACCTTGAGCGGTTCTGTTTGCTTCTTGCTTGTTTGTTTGTGTGCAGTCGGAGCTGGACCCTAGGCTTCTCAAATAAGCGGCTAGTGCCTAGCCCAGGGGTACATGATGGTAGTGACCTCCCCTGTTGTGCAGGGATTACTGGGGTCTCTGAAAGTAATTTAGGGTAGACTGAATCGGAAGACACCTGAATATGCTGTTTTTGAACCCCTAGGCGCCTAAACATGCTGTTTTTGAACCCCTTGCCAAGATTTGTTGATGCCAAGGAATGATTGATGTACGGGAATGGGTCGGGACGGTTGCCGAATTTTGCACTTAAAGGATTGGTGGAGTTGTTCGCCCATGCAAAAATGGGGGTAAAACCAGACCAGCCTATATCAACCCTCCCCTGAATTTACCTACATCAACCAGCCCAAGGCAGCATTTTGGTGGTCACCTGGGAATTGCCGGAGGCCGCTTGGCAGCGCTTCCTGGCGGAGGAGTTGGAGGGCACCTGGCCCGAGAAGGCGGCGATTCGAGTCGCGAGTCGCGATTAGAGTGAAAAGGGATATACACTACATGGCACCTTGGACCCATGGACCTGTCAGCTGAATGTATGGCTTAAGTCATCAACCCCATGGGGAATAATGTCAGGGTCCAACTGTCTAGGTCTCCTATTGACTCACAGAGGCTCCGTTGAAGAGAAACTTGATCTTCCAGGTACCCGCCGTTAAAGATGCTGTGTGAGTGGGAGGAAGGGCAACCGTTGAAAGAAGGGAAACACTACTCCACTCCACTCACGCACCCACACACACACACACACATCTCCGTGTTGGTGGTTTCTCCCGATGGCTTACCACCAATAGGATACAATCCAAAAAGGGCGGAGCCGACAAGTTCACAGAAACATGCACACTAGTCCTTGCTCCCCGAGAGGACACGGGAACATCTCGGGTGTTGCGGGCTCCCAACAGGAATCCAGAAAAGACAACCCGCTAAAAAATTGAACGGAGGTCCCATTTGAAAGACCACTCCCTCACTTTTGGGGCAATGCGTCGATCATCTAGGTTCACCACGACCAAACTCTTGACCCAGTTGGGGGACCATGGCTTATCTCACGTGTCACAGAAGTGGATTCCCTGTTTCACCACGACCCTGACAGATTAAAACGCGTCCCATTGAAAAATTTGCTAAGCCTTGCGCCGGATCACCAAGTTTTTGTGGGCTGGTTCTTCAGAGGGAGGCAGGTTAATGTTGACCCCATATCAATCAGGGGGTGTTCCCTCCAAAAGTGATGGTTTCCCATTACATCCGGGGACACCCCCTATTAATAAACCCCACCCTAGTTTATAAATAGGGGCCAACATTGAGCCCAAGATTCAGATGAGAGCCTGGAAAGGGGACTCCAAAACGTCGATGTTAGATGTTAGCGTAGACGAAAACTCACACAGAGTCCGAACATAGATTATCCGATGCACCTTAGCCGTGGGCGAAATGTCCGGAATGGCAACTAAGTGCCACTTCAATAGGCTGTAATGGCTTGCTCTATGGCCCTCAATCAGCAATGTTAAGCCCGATTCACCTGGGGTTGGCTCCCAACTTCCGTCTAACATGGGAGACCCTCTGTTGAGCAGGGTGTTGTTTACTGGCTCTGGGTTCTCGGAAATATTTCAGGAAGCGCCCGCTTCGCCTAAAGGGCCGCGTTTCCCGAACGGCAGGTCTTCAACAGCACGGCGCTGGCCAACTTGGCCAAGGTGGGGTGTTTCCAGGTTTGCCGAAAGGCCTCGGTAGCCTCCCACCAACTAGCATGGAAGTGCACAAAGGCCCTTTCCACGAGGTAGTCTTTCTACAGGGGTCTGCGCACTTCCATGCTAGCTGGTGGGAGCACTGAAGTCCCGATCGACTTGAAACTTCTTGGAACCAAGCATTGTTTATAGATACACATTAGTCGCGGCTTTTTCTGACCAACGCACACAGGAAGTTCTTGAACCAAACGTGTTTTGCCTGCAGACGAAGTCGCGGCTTTCTCTGACCAATTCACACAGGCACGTGCGAAGACAACGGGCTTTATAGCAGCAACGAAGGGAATTCCTCTTGGGGGCGTCCACGCACTTAGAATCTTCCTTCGGCCAGTCCGGATTTGTGTTTGGGTCTGTCTTGTTTCAGGCCCCCTTTTTGGGCCCGGTTTAAAGAGAAACCAACAGGCATATCATGTCTTCCAGCCCTCTTTAGTTGACCCCGGCTTCCAGGGACTTTGCCCCCGGGACTTAGAAGAAAAACCAACAGGCAAGTATCATTTTGCCACCGGGTGCCCAAGGGAACCCCGCCGTTTTGCTGATCCAACTCTCCAACTCCCCGAGTTCCACGGGGACCCAAGAGATACGTCCGCGAGGACGTGGCCTGCGCGGGCGAAGGCTTGGAGGGCCCCGAGCGGAAGCTGCGAGACGGCGCCGCGGCCTTCGGCCGGCGGTCAGTTGGGGCAAGTCTCGGCCACGGGCGAAAACAGGGGTTTCCCTGCAGGTCCACTTCCCTTGGGCTGAAACAATGGCGGCTCCCAGCTATCCGGTTCCTTAGCCTTCTTGGTTCTTTTTGGTTGGTTGAGTGGGGGTTTTCCATTTAGCCCACTGAAAGTTATTCACTTTTAGCGGGGGATCTGAGGACAGCCCAGAAACCGTTCTCTGAATGCAAGTGCTAAGTGCCCTGTCGCCTGTCTCTTTTAAGACGACCACTAGTTCTCAAAGGGTTGGGGAGCCGTCGGATACAAAAGAGGGAACATGGTCAAGTGAGGTGCGTCTTTGTTGAGGCTTCCCGTTTGGCGGGGGGGATGTTAATGGATGTTAAGGGAAACCCAATTTGAATCCCAGACACGCCACATGACTTACTGCAGATATTTGCGTTGCTTGTTCGTCCACGAGGTCTTCACGCTACCAGCTTTGGGGTGATTCCTCTTGGGAAACCTAAGCCAGCTGAAGCAGTCAACCTGAGCCTCAAGCTGCAAGGAGTAGAGAGCTTCGAACCAAACTGGCTCCTGGCTCCTGGCTCAAGTCCCTTTACCTCAAGTCCCCTTTGAACGGGATGGGACACTTTGCCAACGAAAGGGGGTGAGGTTAAGCACCTGCCAGACGAAGTTTCTGGGCTTGGATGCATCAGGGCCACCCCGAGAAGCGGCCAGAAGATGGGTCAAAATCAAAGCACCAGGAATAGGACCGCAGGTTTGAGTCCTTGGGTCCATTGACTAGGGTTCCAAAATGGATACCCATTTTTGAACCACAGCCATTTTTGTCTATATATATATGTACACAAAATAGGCAATGGATAGGCAAGGTGGAAAACTTTGCTAATTCCAGGAACAACATGGCGGATAACTTTGCTAGGTTAAGCCTCGCTCACATGGCTGAAGAGAACAGTCTCAGAGATCCGCAAGTGTCCACAGCCTGGCGTTCCATGACTTCTTCATCAACATGGTATCTCCTATTTCGTATGAGTTCACTAACCATATCATGTTTAAGGTTTTGCACGATACTTTTGTTTAGTTATTTCTCAGACTAATTGTCATTCCTATGTATGAATACACAGGTTGAATGTTTTGAGAAGTTTGCTCACCGTCATGACGTCAGCCAACATCAACCTGGCATGACTTCCATGAGTTGAGGTGAATCCTGGGACGCTCGCAACGAGTACTCCTTGGCGGGCGCTCACAAGGGACACTTGACATCAAGCAATCGGGTTGGGTCTTGGCGTCAGGAAGTCTCTGGCTCTGTGAAACTGTCTGTGAGAAAATCTGGGTTTGTGCTGTCAAAGTCAGTAAATGGGCCTTCCCGAAGGCTTCCCATTAGGGCGAGTGGTCGCGTTGGGCTGCCCAAATTCTTAGCTTATGGGACCCAGTGGCTTTCCCTTCATAGCCATTAGGATCATTTTGAGGACGCGATGGCCCCAGTTCAGTGCGCTGGGATTCCCATCGCCTCTCATGGCCAGGCCCCAAACGCTCACGTTGACCAACGACCGAATCACCTGGAAGTTGGTTTGGCTTCTGCGATTTTTCGTTTCCCCGCGGGCACAGTCGAGTGAGTCGAGTAAACTTTGGTATGTCCCGTTGGGGAATGTCCGTTCTTTTTTCTTTTTTTTTCCCCCGCAAGCAACCTATCTGCCCACTCGGGAGGGACAATGTGATGGAAACACGCGTGTTTCAGAAACTTTGACCCAGGAGTCTCGTCCAAAGAGCGGCGGAAAGTCCGAGTTCTTCGCTTCCCACTACAATGAACATCTCCAGTATGATTGTTCACATCTGCAAACACACAACATACACGCCCACCCCAGGGACCTGATAGGGGAGATTTTTAAAGCAAAATATGCATTCCAAGTACATTCTCTACGACAGAGCCTGCCTGTTCATGACACGCATGCAAGAGCTGGCTTTCAGGAGGCTGCGCCTAGGGCCTTACCATTGGTGTTTGAAGGGCGCCCGAAAGGAAACCAAGGAGTCCAATTCCATGGGGAGCGCGTTGTCCGGAAAAACCCGCTGGAGGGAAGTCGCCCAGATCGATTCGCTGTGTGTCGTTTTTTTTTGCTGGGCTCTTTGTCTCAGGTGGCAGTGGTAGACACAAGAGCCACATCCAAGATTTTGGACAAGGCAGCGGAACGTAGCATGTAGAAGGATACGTAGAACAGGTGATTGTTCATACTAGCAATGTGAAATGACATGAAGGAAGAGTGGACTCAAATGAGCCCGCATCCACTTTCGACTCTACCGCTCAGTTTCCTTTGTTTTTTTGTGACAAGAGGAGATTGCATCGCTTTCATCCCCTGGGACCCCAGAGGCCGTCGACCGCATCGGACTTAGACTGGCCCAAGCCTTGCAAGCCAAAAGGATCGGCTCGCCATGGAGAAGCTGTTGGAGGTGCGTGTCACCTCGATGTCTGGAGGTGAGCAGCTGATTCAACTGGACCCAAGTGACAGCATCGCGACGCTGCGCCACAAGGCGTGCACCGGGCGAAACCGGGAGGTTTGCGCATGCCGCTTGAGACATCCTGTTTTTGACACACACACACACACACGCACAGGCAAACGCACACACACACACACACACACCCACACACGCACACCCACCCACACACACACACACACACACGCAGACAGACAGACAGACAGACAGACAGATAGACAGACACAAAGACACAAAGACACAAAGACACAAAGACACACACACACACAGACACACAGTCACACAGACACGCAGACACAGAGACACAAAGACACACACACAGACAGACACGCAGACACCCAGACACAAAGACACACACACACACAGACACACAGACACACAGACACGCAGACACGCAGACACGCAGACACGCAGACACGCAGACAGACAGACAGACAGACAGACAGACAGACAGACAGACAGACAGACAGACAGACAGACAGACAGACAGACAGACGAAGACGAAGACAGACACAGACTTCGGAGGGAGGAAGCAACCCAAAGTCCAGTAAGTGGTTTGACTCGAGTAAGTCGAGTACATTCCTTATGAGCGTTTAGACGGGGGCGCTAAACAAAACAACGTCGTCAAACTATACAAATCTGGCTACCAGCTGCGACCAATGCGCCAAAGTCTGCCTGTGAAGAAAAGGGTTGACCCGCTGATCGAGAGTTGGGGCATCGCCAGTGGAGAGCCCCGCCAGCTCTGCTCCAGGCTCCAAACGAAAAACGGGGTCGGTCCTTGAGAAGACCGGGGACTCCGCCAGACACACGCTCCCGAAGGAGCGAGGTCCCAACGCGCAGGAAACAAAACGAAGCAAACCACAAAGCAAATCCGGCCCCAAGTTGGGTCTCCGCGGGCAAAACCCGCCACCAAGAAACAAGAAACGCAGGGAAGCCGAGTTTTAGGGCTTGTAGACGAGGACACCATCCCGCAGAGGGGCGCGCTGCAAGGACGCGGTCAAGGAAAAGGTGGGGGTCGAGAAGCAGGAGGCGAAGACGAAGAAGACAAGGAAGACTAAAGTGCCAGGGAGCCAGAAGAGCAAGAAGCCATCCGCAAGGGGGGTCAAAAACAAAAACGCGATGAGGTCCATGACTTTCACTTTCAATGGTCGAGAGACCAAGAAGACGTAGACGGAGACGACGCACTCATGGTAAGAAGACCGACGCGACAAAGAAAAGCACCAGGTGGGCTGAGACAAAGAAGACGAGGAAGGCGGACTGAGAACGGCCTCGACGAAGACGGCCAGTAGAGCAGGTAGCCGTCCCGCAACGGGGCCAAGAGCAAGAAGACGGACGAAAGGGCAGAGAAGAAGACAACAACGACACCAAGACCAACCAACCAAGTCAAGACACGAAGGAAACCTTCAATCAACTAAGGAGGTACAGTTGATTTCTGCCACACACTGAGCTGTCACACAGGTCACGGCTTTGCCGCCGTCCCGGGGTCTCTTAATCAAGTCCAACAAACGCCGGGCGAACGAACGTAGGCCGAAAACTGCGTGGCTGTGGCAAAGCGGCAGCGTGCTTTTTGAGGGTACCCTTCTCAGCTTGGTGTAGAGATGTGTAAAACTAGATGGCACAACACCCGCATTTTCTCGCATGAAGGGAATGGCGCCATTTGTTTTCATCCTGGTGCACAAGAGGGAGTGCAAAAAAAGCCTTGAGGTACGAACATGCTGTGCAGCAAAGCCGGTTTTCCCATAGTGCCCTGCCACTTCACTGAAATGGGTCGCTTCCTGGGTTCCCTTGACAGACGTTGTGGGTTCCTGGCACCTTCTGAGCCAAATCGAAGCCCAAGGAGGTCCTGGTTTCGCAGGTGAGCGAGAATCTGGGCCTGGGCACATGGCAGGTGCGGCTGGTGAAAGGCACGGAGAAAAAGGGGGCTGAGGTGAGCTGACTTTTGCCTTGTGAGCCAAATGGGTATTCTTCCATTTGCTGAAATGAATATGTCATATGTTTTATTGTTCCCCTCTTCGTTTCTTGGGAATTTAAATCACAACTGGATTTTGTTTTTCTCCGGGGGGCTTAAGCAAATGGAAGTATGCGTCAAAATTGAGGGACGAAACCCCAAAACTCGTGTTTTTCCCGGTGGAGGTAGCCTGAAAAGGGTTCCCCTAAACAGTACCCAAAGGGGTACCGGCTCTCAAGCGGGATGTGTTCTGAGGCACGTGCGTAACGCTGGTGTAACCCCCCCCGAAACCATGATGGGGACGTTGCGCAGAGGGTATGTTGATGTGACAAGTGGGCTGATTGGAGCCAATTGGCAATTGGACCCCGTTGTTTTATTCCGGTTTGGATTCCGTTTATGGCAATTCTGTTTGGCGTGTGGCAAGGCAAGCCCCGATGATATCACCCGCTGACCTTCTAAGGAGTTTCTTCATGTTTGATGTTGTCCATTCGTTTCTGACAAGTACTTCACCGTGTCACAGAACAAGCAGCCAGACGAGGAGAAAGGATGATACTTCCCAGAGCCATTTTGGAACGTCGACACCTGAGCAATTCTCAGAATGGGCCCTTCGTTGGTTGATGGTCCCTTCGTTGGTTGATGGTCGGGAAGCGAAACGAAAGACTTGAGAAGTAAATTTTAGAAGCCCCATAAATCAGTTGCAACGTCACCCAAAGTCACATCTGAAGCCCCAGTGATTTCGGGCGCCGGCTTCCGACTGGCAACTCGAAGGCGCCGAGGTGGTGACCAAGGGCTGCTTGAAAGACTTCCTCGAGGAGAGAAAAACGTTCGAAGCGGGTTGTTTTTTTCCCCTGAGCATGGCTACGGCGCAGTGGTCATTGGATGCCTGACTACAATAGATCTGCTTCGATTGACGTGTTTGTTACGTCCTTTTGTTGTTTTGTGTGTGTGTGTGCGGTTTGTCAAGAGGGCCTATGACCTTTGAAGAATTGTACAATGTAGGCATTTGGTGAAATTCTGCACACAAAGTCGTTGAGTGCAAATCATGGTGTGGCAATGCGGTGCATGCCCCTGTCAAGTGGAGACAGTTCCGTGAATTCTGGGAATTTCTGATTCCACTCATGTCGGTTTTGTAATTCATCACATCTTGTCTCGTGTAATATTGTACTTTGGCAAACAAATCTATGAATGTGATGACGAACGAAGTTGCCGGCTCTCCTTGCTGGTTCCAGCGGAGTACCGAATGAAATCCAATTTTAAGTTTGGGAAGAGGAAGATCATGTAGGTGTGGCTCAAAACTAAACTGGAGGGGCAAACCGCAGGTTTTGGTCCATGTTTCCACTTACCGATCGGGCAACCCATGTTGGAATTCCTTTTTGTTTTTTGAGCCACAGCCATGGTGAAGAGTCAATTGTCATGGCATGGACTCATTTTCCATCACGTTTCCGTGAGCTCACCGCAAGTACGAAGACAGCCAGCGCCTATTCCAGAGGATTGTGTATCCATGGTGTGCAACGATATCTTCGCAAGTCGGATCCTGACTCCTGGACTTCCGGATTCACATATATATATATATATATATATACATGTATATATACATATATACGTATAATATATATATATACGTATATATATATATATCATGTACACTGGCCTTTTTTCGTGCTCCGGCCCCCATCGGCCACCGGCCACCTGAGTCGAGGTTAAGGGTCAGTTCCTTCACAGAAATGGGACGCACGTGAATTTTTGCACGCTCTTCTGAAACCCCGTCGGCGTGGATGGTCGGTCAGTCAAAATGAATTTCTGGTGACATGTCAGTGGCATTTGGAATTTCTGGCCTGCTCCCTAAGGAGTCAGTTCGTCAGTTTTTTGGCCTCTCAACATGGGTTGGCTGAAGGGAATTGAGAAAAAAGGGCGCGGGTCTTCATTGGAGACCCGGGGTTGGAGGTATCAAGATCCTGAGCGCACGAAATCTTGTTTGCTTGCCCCTTCCACATGGAGAGTCTACATCAAAGGGCTTGGTTGCAGGACAATCCACAGGACATGGCCCCAGAACACCCGAAGTAAGCTGTTTTCCTGCAGAATTTCCTGTAACCCAACCCTTTGACTACAGTTCTCCTGTGGCAGACCTAAGAGAAACAGCCGGCCCCTTCTGATCCCCATGCGTGGTCGCGAAGTGGGTGTCATGGAGTGGACATTGGGGAGATACCTGATGCAACAAGTCAAGTTGGTAGATGCGGGCGGATTCTCAAAGCTTACACTTTCAATTTGTTCAGTCAAGCTGGGGTGATTTGTAGGGGAAGGTTCCCTTGCAAACGTGTTTATTCCAGGGAGCACCTCACTTGTCCAAAACTCGACCTTTAAGTCTCTGACAACAAGCAAGACTGAGAAGGGATCTTGATGTGCCATCCAGCAACCAAGAAGCTGAGTTGTTTTTCAAAACCAGGCAATGATTTTAATGATCAACTGTATTTTGCTTCATTTGATAACTGTCCCAAGACAGTTCTGGCAGTCATTTAAGAATATGTTTACATACCTGTCTTGCTTCATTTGAAGACCCAAAGGAGTCGCCTGTTTTCTGACACACAGCTGCATGACTGTGCGTCAATGCAGCGCAACATGCAGCGGTGGCAACTCGATTGATTCACCGTGGGTTGGTGAATCTCCCAATCGCGCGGCCCCCCGGCTTTCACTTGTCACTTTAGAGCAGCATTTATTTTAGGATGTTTTTTTGGGGGAGACTCTGCATTCCCAGTTCCTCTTCGACAGGTGGCGTTTTAACTTTTGCGGCTTTTCGCTGGTTTGTGCGGCTTTTGGCGGCTTTTGGCGGCTTTGGCTTTTCGTATCCTTCGGCCTTTTTGGATTTTGCACCCTTTCATTGGTTTGTCGTATTGTACAGCATTTTCTCGCGAAATTGACGCATTCTACACTAGCCCGTCAACATCCCCAGCATCGTTTTCAACATCCCCCGCATGTCCAACCAACATCTCTAGCATCACCAACACATCGTGACGGGGTCAAAAAAATAATGATTCAAACAGGAGGGCATTTCAATCGCAGTTTTTTTTTTAGTAGCGGGGGGGTTGGGGGGGGCGGCAGCCTCCCCCATGATGTTGGCAGAAGTGATGATTCGAGTAGGGGTGCAATTAAATCTCTGCAAAATGTCAAAAAACTAGCGGGGGGTGTTGGGGGGGCGGCAGCCGGCCCCATGATGTTCCAAGAATTGATGATTCAAGTAGGGGTGCAACTAAATCTCTGTAGACAATCTAAAACGTAGGGGGGGGGGTTGCGGGGGCGGCAGCCCCCCCATGATGTCGGAAGAATTGATGATTCAAGTAGGGGTGCAATGATTTAAGAAAGGGTGCGATAGAATAAAAGGCAGCGGGAGGGTTGGCGGGGGTGGCTTCCCCTATGATGTTCGAAGAAATGCATACATACAGACATACATGGATTACACAGATTACCTAAAATGTCGTATTTTCGCGAAATTGGACGCTCGAAAAAGTGATGATTCAAACAGGGGTGCAATTCAATCTCTGCAAGAAATCTGAAAAGTAACGGGGGGGGAGGCGGCAACCCCCCCCATGATGTTTGAAGAAGAGTTGATTCAAATAGGGGTGTAATTACTCTGCAAACAATCTAAACAGTAGCGGGTGGGTTGGGGGGGGTTTTTCCCGAATGATGTTCGAAGAAGTGATGATTCAAATAGGGTGGTGGTGATGCTGATGATGCGGGAAGCCAAATCCCAAATTTACTGGCCCGGAGGGGAAAAAAAAACGCAACCAGTCACTATTCCCATGTGGAGAATCCGGTTGGTTTTAGTGGTAACTTCTCCTATGTGGAAAATCTCGTCTTTTCGAAGTGGTTTCCCATCAAGCATATTTGGTTGTGGGTCAAAAATGGGTAGCCAAAATGGAACCCTGGTAAATGGAACACCTGCGGTCCAATTCCTGGCGGTGAAATTTTGACCCATTTACCCATTTGTTGAATGGTAAAACCCAGCAACGGGCATTTCACCTCATCAACCCCAGATTTCGCAGGAGGGCGGGACCGTCGTGGATCTCATGGCGATCACTATGCTGCGCAACCATAAAGTGGAGGCTTGGTTCTTTGTGGCCACTGGTTGTCTCACAGGAGCCCAAGACCTCAAATAACGAGGCCATGGGGGTCTAAGACCCTCATATTTAGGGTCTTGGGTCAGGAGGTGGTTGGCTTGACTGGAGTGGCAAATCGGCTCGAGTTTTTGTAGACTTCGGATGGGGTCGACATCCTTCGCACCGCTGCCGAAACCCTGGAATGCGTCCCCTGTCAATACCAACCAACAATGGTTTCTCATGGCTTCAAAGTGGTGCGACCGGATTTCGTCCATCGTTTCGGCTTAAATTGTCAACACTGTTTGCATTCAAACACAGAAACTGGCCCAAACCATGTCCCACCACGGCATTCGGGCCTTCTGAAATTCATTTCCCCCACCGTTGCCCTGACATGGGTCCTTGCTGGGTGGAAAAATGAGGGCATGTTTTCGCGGCTGCAAAAGGCTTCACGAGATCGTTGGCCATGGCTTTCTAGTCCCCAAGCCTAGTGTAGCTCCTTCTGTCCGGGGAATTTGACGGAGAAAGTGTCAGCTTCGAAGCTTCGAAGGTTGAAGGCCTTGCGAAGGATACTCAGTCCCTCATTTTTGTTAGGACCCCAGCTGCAAGGTGTCCTAGGAGCCCAAGACCTCAAATAACGAGGCCATGGGTCTAAGGCCCTCATATTGAGGGTCTTGGGCTCCTAGGGGTAGTTAGCTTTTTGTGTAGAGGTGTTTAGTGTGCAGGTTCCTTGTGAAACGTACAGAGCGACGTTGTTCAGTCGGTGTTCCTTAGAATTGGGTTTCTTTTGTGAGTTGGTAGGATGAAAAATGAACTCGTCTTGGGGTTGAGGGAATCGCCCAAGCATTGCATGCGGCTTGGATCCCAAAAACTTGGATGTTCAACTGACTTGGTGGGTTGTAGCCATATGGACCCTGTCCCAGCTACTAAGTTGAAGATCCAATAGGGCTCATCACCTCAGGTTGAACATATAACTTCCCCATGGAATCAGCCAACAAACAAGGGCTCATTTCTCCTACCGTTCGGTACTGGAAAGAGAAGGTTGAACATACATGGCCCGAACAAGAGGCTGTTGAGCCATTCCAGTGACTGGTTGGACATGGCGGTCCTCTTCTTGAATGCCGGGTTCGCTCTTTCCACGTTGGCTTGTTGGGAGCCTGCAAAAAGAAAATCGATCTTCTCAAACGTGTCAAAATAGGGCGACCAACATGGGTGGTGTTCCTGTTGCTTTCCCTTTGATCCAACCCCAAAAGGCAAACCCGCGAAAAGGATACATCCCATGGTTCCCTTTGTTTACCCTTTGGTAGAGCTTGTTGCCAGGCGCTAAGCCACAAGTCGCTCGACCGCCAGGAGAGGAGCAAAGAACTTCACCACGCCTTGCGCTTTGGCGCCCAATATTATCTACTGCAACTCGGCGGGAGGGGAGAGAGCCAAAGAAACTGCCCTGCCACCAATCAACATAGAACCTGACGTTCGGGGGTCCTGGTTTGGACCATTTTACTTTTACGGACGCCTGTCAGGTTCCATGGCAGGGATCCATCTTGTGCCTGTCCGATCCAACTCGCTCAGCTTTTTGTCCACGAAAACGACCCACTTCCGCACGAAGGCGCACCCTTCGCTCCGCGAGCCCAAGTTGCACCGGCGCTAGATGTGTCGCCATTGGTTGCACCGCTGCAAATCCCTTCGCAAACCTGGCTCGCGGAAGCTTGGCACGAGAGATCGCCATGGCTTGTGGGAGTTCGGGGCAAAGCGCCGTTGAAACAAGCGGCCCGTCGTGACTGCAGCTTGGTCCACACATCGCCCGCAAACGGCCGGCCAGTTTCCTCGAGCTTTGCGGAGCTTGCTTGGAGAATGCTGTTCACACCTCACTCGCAGCACAAGCCATCGACATGGTTGTTGTTGTGAAGCATGTTTCCCATTTTTGCTCATTGTGGTTTGGTTGAAATCCCCGGTGAATTGCTAAGAATTCTGTTTTTCGCTCCCCTAACCCAACGTCAACCAAGTTGACCCGCACTCGATGCGTGAAACCGGCCAAGCGCTGGAAGGCTTCCAAGGTCTGCGATCATTCGGCTGGGCGGCCCGCTTCCCAAGGCTAAAGTTTCAAGACTTGATCGACCAAATCACGGGGTTTTTATACGGCCCAGGGGCAAATGAGGACCCAAAAACCAAAGCCTTACGGGTTCAAAACAGGCCAACTACGCCTTTTGACCGAGAAAGAAAGAGAAAAGTGGCCTTTCGGGCTTCCAGGCAGTCTTTTTCACCGTGCTCGCCGAGCCTCCAGTTCATCGCCGGACTTGCGCGTAATGCCGAGTTCAACTCACTTTGTGAGCAGAGAACCGCCCATTTCAACGATCAGCGCTCGGTATGCCATCGCTTATCGCCCAAGACACTTTTATACGCTGAGCCATACAGAAGACAAATGTACAACCTTTGGCGCGGTTTGGCGACGTGGGTTTGAGCCATTGTGCATGAAAGCTATAAGCATACTGGCAATGAGGACGATCAATGGGTCGAGTTGAGGATTTTCCCTGGGAGGTCGAGGCCTCGATTCCCAGGAGTCCTTTACAAGGAGCACTACGCGAAAGTTTCTCCAAGAAACCGGCTGTAGGAAGCACTTGGTGGCGAAAGTTCAGCCGGTCTGCAGGCCAAGGCATCGTAGACCCTGCTACGACGTGCTGCAGCTCTACCAGGACGGGGGGGGGACGTCAGTTGTTGTGTATTTCAAGGTGTATAAGACATGAGGGTGTGTGTGGGTGTGTGTGTGTTCCTTGAGGGCATCCTAACACACAATTTGGCCAAGTCGGTATTGTGACTCACACAGCCCCATGGATCACAATGACATGATGTTTGGGGTAGCTGGCGGTAAAACGACATGTTCCTCCTGGACAAATGGTAGCAACCTCACCAGGAGCTTGGCTTGCATCCATGAACGATCCTTTATGGGATTCCCCTGCCGTATCCGTGTGCAAAAAAAATACATGGACCAGCAAAGAAAAAAATGGGTTTTCATTTAAGGCTTTTTGGAAGGATGCAGCTACAGTTCAAATAGGGCTATCCGGGACATCGTTGAGACAGGATGCATGCCTCACATTGGGATACGGGGACCTCAGGGGTACTTGACTGGTTGGTGAGTTGTTAGAGCATGAAAGTAGCAAATACGCATACACAACGTTGATAAACCTGGGCGATTCCGAGAAACAAGCAACACGAGCGAATCTCTTTATAGCAAGTTCATCACAAAAGCCACGTCACAAACATAGCCACAACGCCACATCAATTCTGCACCTATACTGAGCAGCTCCTAGCCCACAGTTTTGAATTTTCCCACAACGACAGACCCCCTATTTAGCCCCGCGGAAGTTACAGTTGTGTTTTTCCATTTGAGGGGTCCCGCCTATTTGGTCGCACCTCCATTTCGGGGGTCAGGAACAAACCCAAATTGGGTATGTTTCCGGCTTTTTCGAGCTGGTGTGCCTTCAGGTGGTTCTACCTGGTACGGCGCCTCTGTAAAGCTCATGGTCGAAACTCCCCTTTACTTGGGGTTGGGGATGGTCATGGACCATTTGCACTCATGTACGCAAAGGGTTCCTAGCAAAGGGAGGCCATGACCATGGCCCATGGCTCATCTATGACCAACAGTCAGTGGAGTTTTCTTGCCGGTGCTCAATCAGGGAATGAACCCAGAAACTTCCCTCAAAGGAAACCCCCAGCTGGATGGCGTTTCTCGGACACGAAAGTGGCAGGAGTCCATCCTGGCGGGGGACATCAACTGGAACTACGGGGGCAGGAACATGCTGGAGCTGGCGGGGCGCGGGGTCATTCGGTTCTTCGAGGGCAGGAGTTTTCTGGTCCATGGATGTTAGCGGGATATGGCATAGCCAAGAGAAGGAAAAGATGATGATAGATCCATTCTGTCCCTTGAGTTGTGAGGAGGAACCCGCATGAGTTTACATCCCGCTTTCACATCTTGATAAAACTTGGTGATTGGGATGGACGCATGATAATGAAAAAAAACAATGACAACTAAAAAGCATAATAGAAAGGTTATGAAGAGCGAGGTTGGACCCATCTCTCAGAGCTCTTCTCACCCTTTCACCTTCCTCTGTCAGGATGGTGAAAGAAGGTGAGAGCAATAGGTGAGGAGAGGTTGGATGACAGTCCTTACACTCGCTCGTTAGCTCCCCCTTTGTGCCCTCACCTTCCCATGTCGTTTACACGTGGAGAAGGGCGCGAGCCGAAGGATGCAAGCGAGAAGCTCCGCCGAACGGTGAAGCCTCAATAGAGAAATGTCAACCTTAGGACAATGACAGCATGGAATGTCAGGATTTCCCCGTGTACATGTGTCCAGATGGTTGATGAACAAATCACACTTTCAGGGATGCTGGACAATGAAGGGGCCTTCTGGACCCGCAGTATTGGCCCTTTAGGTTTTTCAAAGGGACACGAAAAGGACAACCATCTTGGGCGCCCCACATACCCAAATGGACCAGTTTGGGATTTGGATCATAGATGTTTTTAGGTCAGTTCGGTTTTCAAGAGCACCGGTTTGGGTTTGGTTCCAATCATTTGTCCGTGCAGTTACTTGTTTGTGTGAATTTGCCTGAAACTCGTGTTGGGCGGTGATCTCTGTGGAATCACCCCCACGAAATCCCTGGGCCAACCTTCGGCTTAACGCGCATGCCTCAAGCCTGCGGTGCAGAAGTGTTCTTTTGATCTGCCGTGCACATGGCTTTTGAGATGGCTCCTGGTGTGCCGGCTCTGCACTTTTGAGAGAAACAAAGGGCAACATGAGAGCCGGGAATGTGTACCTGGCAAGAGGCAGAGCATTCCGAAAGGACATCTCGGGCTAGGATACCTGTTCGAAAGGAAGCTGGCCAGGGATGGAACCCCGGAGGAAACACGTTTTTGCATGGCTTCCAGGCAAACAATAATGGGGATTAATTCAATCATGGCCATTGGGACGGTTGTTCCTTGGCTTTGTCACGTGCCATCATGTTCAGCCCCTTGGATGCAGGCTCCGCTGGTTCACGCCATACACAAACAAGACGCGGGAATGTCTAAGAAGGCGTTCACTACCAACCAATATTCCGCGGAAAGTTAAGGCATGCACTGTACAAAGGCTATCAACCAAAACTATGCCTGGGTAGTGGAACTCTTTTTTGACGGCCTTGTGAGTTGCAAGAGAGGTAAAGAGCAATTGACTTTGTTAAACCTCCAAGCAGCGAAAGCACAGACTACTAGAGTCTGCTTATCAAGATAGGGGGTAAGGGGGGGGGGGATGGTAGTTTGTTTTTGACGTCCCTTACCAACGTGAAAAGCGTACCCTCAAAAGACACACACACACACACACGCAATGGTATCCTGGCAATGTATTCACGCCTTAGGCCATTAGTCGGGTGTAGCACTCAAGGGCGACTCCAGCGTGGGAAGCTCAAAAGCGACAAACACACCATGGCTGCGACCCACAAGAATAGGGATAGCCCTCAAGAACTAGCCCAAAATCTGAGCTGTGCGGCTTGCCTCGGTTTCCCTCTATAGATGCTGAGCAACCGAGTCTTTCGGATTTGTGCTTGTGGTCAAGGTACCAAGAGGTGAGCCAATGTGGTGTGTTCGGTTTGCATTTTCAGTCAACCTTTGTCCAAAAACTTTACCCTTCTTCCATATGGTGTCCCCGAATGGTGGGTGTCCTTTTGTTCACTGTTCTTGACAGCTTTGTTTTGGCTGCTTCTCTTCATTCTTCGCAGGGGCCTGCTAAAACACCACTCAGCTTTCTTGCAAGCCCACACTGAGGGCTGCGAATAGAACTTCTTGGCGTCCCTTCCTGGCCCCTTTCCGGCCCCCGTCCAGGCCGTGGACATGCTCGGGGAGGAACAGGCCACAAAGGCTGTGGAGTGGATGGTGCAGGCCCTTTGCACGGGAACAACAAAAAAAAGAAGCCGTCGGCTCTGGCGATGAAATCATGAGACAGAGTCCAAGTTGCCCAGTGGATTCCGCCCCTTTTGTGTGTAATTTTCTCATGGCCCATGGATTTCACTCCCTTGTAGACTCCACTGCCCAGTAGATGCCGCCCCTTTTTTCAACTTTTTTTGGGGGAAGGGTTCCTTCTTTCCGCTAAACTCAACCAAGAGAGGATGCCCCATTTTGTTCCCATGGGAATTCACTAGGCATCTGAGGAAATTGTCCAGGGGTTGACCAATATTCCGTTCGACCCACAAATAAATGGGTAACAGTTCTTATTTAGTGGTTGAAATATGATTTGTTTCCTGGTTTACACCAATGGTCATCCCATGTAAAGCACCTTTTGAGCAAACCCCATGTAAATGTGTCCAAAGGGTTGATGAGAATTCACCCTCTCAGGGCTGTCGGAAGTCCTATAAAAGGGTCCAGTCCAGACCCCCAGTACTTGTGTGTGTGTGTGTGTGTTTGCGTGTTTGTGTTGGAGCTGATACTCTTTTTAGCTTGGCCTGAAGGGGGAAAAATAAAACCACCATGATTGGGGTCGCCAATTTTGACACACCCGCACAGACACACACACACAGACACAGACACAGACACAGACACAGACACAGACACAGACACAGACACAGACACAGACACAGACACAGACACAGACACAGACACAGACACAGACACAGACACAGACACAGACACAGACACAGACACAGACACAGACACAGACACAGACACAGACACAGACACAGACACAGACACAGACACAGACACAGACACAGACACAGACACAGACACAGACACAGACACAGACACAGACACAGACACAGACACAGACACAGACACAGACACAGACACAGACACAGACACAGACACAGACACAGACACAGACACAGACACACACACACACACACACACACACACACACACACACACACACACACACACACACACACACACACACACACACACACACACACACACACATATATATATATATACATAATGTGCGGACATGTGCGGGCCATGAAGTGTTTTTGTTTGCCTGGAACTTCTTCTAGGCTTCAGCTTACTGATGAGCGTATCAATGCCAAAAATGCGACCTCTTTACCACACCCGTCTGCCTCAGCAAGGGATCATGGGGTTTCTGGAGTTACGATGTGTGATCTATTACCCAGGTGCCGTGCTTGCTAATCCTTAGGTCCTCATTCGTATTTCTTGCCAGAGATCACACAACACCAATGGAAGTTGGGTACCGCCATTGTCCAGTTTAACCTTCTTTGTTGGACGTACCCTTCATGAACTTTGTTGGGGAGCAACTCTATGGCAGTTGCGCTCCAATGAACAGTTTCGATCTGTCTCCATTGACCCGGGTGCAAGTAACCACTTACATCAAATGAGAACCAAGCGCAGAAAGTTGGTACCCTCAAAAATTCACAGACTCCCATTTTGAGACGGACCCATGGCCCCCCTGTCCCGTTCTGCCCAGGGCGGCGTTGGGGTGAACGAGCCCTCCGGCAACGGCTACACGCCGCTGCTCACCGCCTGCAGCCGGGGCCTGCCGCAGGTGGCCAGCAGCCTGCGCCGGCACGGCGCCAAGGCCACGGTTCAGCGGTGACAAATCGGCGGCATAGGTCAGAGGTCCCCCCGTTGGTGTTCAGGGTTGTGGGATCACTCGGATTTTTTCCCCACCTCTGTGATACTTTTGGGAATCTCCCCCTTTACAAATGGGGGTTAGTCTTTAAGCCCTTTTTGTTGTATCACAGAAGTGGATTCCATTTCCCACAGCCCTGGTCGTTTGTTCCTGTTTCTAGGGAAGAGTTTCCCTTTGAAATCAACAAACTACCCTGCTTCTGGTGTTCCATGGCGCCAGGGACCCCAGGTTTCCTTGTGGTTCCCTTCACAACCACAAAAAAGCAAGGGTACCCTCAACAACACACAAGCCCACAACCGCAAAAATGGGGCACCCTTACAAAAAAAAAAACAGACCCCGTCTTTTTTTTGGAGTCGGCGCGTCGCCAGGATGAAGTGGTGCTTCAGGGCCAAGACGCCCTCATCGCGGCCTTGAAGTTCTTTGAGGCATGCGTGAAGTGCCCCAAACTGCAGACACGTCAGGTAAGTCACCCAAACCAATCCCCAAACTGCGTTTCACCGCCCTTTTTTGATTCACTCATTCAATCACTGAAACTAAGCACTCATTTGGGAAATTAAGCACTCATTCAACTGTTTCAACCGCAAATTGTTGCATGTTTATAAGGGTGTCACGATCCAGTTCGGGTACCGTTTGGATTGGTGGTTTGGATGTGGATTTGAACCCTTGTTTTTTTCAAGAGTAAATGACAATTCCTCCTTAATTAAGCACCAAACCACCGATTCGGCTCCACCAATTAGAGGGAAGCTGAGCGAGCGTGCAACCAGGTGCTGGCGTTGGTTTCACCAAGGAGAAACCGAAGACTGGTTCGGTTGGTGGGTGGCCAGTGCGATTTCGGAAAAGAGGTTGCTGTAACTAGATGTGGTGTCTTGTTTGTTGTCTTTAGTGTGGTGGTTTCAGCAGTCTTGGGGAGATTCCACCATGTTAGCCTACATTGCCTCCAGCGTTGTTTTGCCGTTCCTTGCCATGTTTTCTTTACACATCCCAGTAATGTACAAAAAGGTTAATTCAGGGCTTGCCAAGCCAAAATCTTGGGGGAAAAGGTTCGGTGGTTTGGATTTGGAACCGTAACCTTCGGTTCTTGAGGGGCAAATGGGATCCAAGCCACCGATTTTGGGCAAGATCGGCTCGAAGAAAGTCGGGGGACCCCTGAGACATGGATGGATTCGAGGTCAAAATGAAATGCCGGAAGTCCCCCAGCTAGGTGCCCTCTCTTACCAAATCTTTTTTGGGGGAGGGTTCCCCTACTCAAATGACTACAGAAAAAAAAGGTACTCTTATTCTAAACCTCTCTACTGGAGGACCTAGTACTAGAAGGTGGATTAGACAACCGGCATGTCCAGGCTTTTCTTGCAGGAGCTTGCCTCAACACAAACCACAAGCTCTTGTTGGGGCCCTAAAGAGTCACATTCCTATGATTTGGCCTCGGGGGCGTTGCCGTTGAGCATCTTCGACTGTTCAATGATCCAGATTTTCAGTGCCTGTGTACCATATGGCCATATGGGGAAGAAACGAGATTTCCATGGCGTGTCAAATCCTGGGAGCCGCGAAAAAGGGGGGCACCTAGCTTTCACATACCTGGGGAGATGTTTTGAGGGTACCACAGGCGCCGGGCCGCTACCCACTGCAGAACAATTAGATTTACCTCATGTTGCCCGTGAAACTGGTGGCCTGGTTGGACGTACCATCCAGCCCCACCCTTTATCAGGCCTTGTTTATCGCAAACCCGGAGGGAGAGAAAGAGAAAGAGAAAGAGAAAGGAAAAGGGAAAGGGAAAGAGAAAGAGAGATATAGAGAGAGAGAGAGAGAGCAAAAGAGAGAGAGAAACAGAAAAAAAAAAACTGGTTATGTCAGTTTCGATGTTCCTTTAGCTTTGGCTTTCCTTTAAACCCACCCAAAAACGGCTCCGAGCCTCTGAAATAAGCCGCTTTTTGAGGGCACCCTGTTTTCGGGCGGTGTCTGAAAGGAAAGCACCACATCTTGCTGGTGCTCAGTAGGGAATGTGGGAATGAGCCCAGGATCCTTGAAGGAAACCATGTCTCATTCTCTACTTGTCGCACCAGCAATTGACATCCACCTTTTTGGGGGGCCGCGTCCCAAACTTTGTTGCCCAGTGGGTTTCTTCCTTTGGTCCGCTTGGGTTTTTGGGTTTTTGGGTTCCAATTCCTTCAAACTCAACCAACAAACTGAACCAACCAGAAAAGGATGCCGATTCTTTTGGATTTTCATGGGAATCCACCTCCGAAAGCTGACTCGAGGTACAAGAGCCGGCCGCGGGCGGAGGATCTGCGCCTGGCACAGCTCTGCCTGCAGATGCGCGCGGAGAAGATCGCGGAGGTGGCAGGCCCCGGAGAATGGAAGGGATCCGGATCCGGATCTGGGTGAGGTTGTTTTTTTTTCACGTCCTCACCAGGGTAGTTGTTGGGAAGCATTTTACATCTTTGCTTATGGTGGTTTAGTGGTTGAAATCCAACCACTTCTCTGCCAAAATTCAAGTTGTTGTTCCCCTTCCAACGTCAACCAAGTCACAGGGCTTGACCCAAAATGGTCGTTTACGTGGGGAATGGCCCCCCGACCTTATTTGAGTTTGGTGCACTGTAGGAAACCCGGCTGGATCCCCCCACCTGGAAGATGAAACTGGGGGAGGGGATGTCGAATTCTGGAGATCTCAAAATTTGTGGCAGCCCCCGTTTTCCTGTGGGGAATACTAGATAAATGTTGGGGAGATGAAACTACCCCCCAAAGGGTTCATATTTCATCTCCCGTGATTTACCGTTCAGGATTGTCATCATCCAAATTGGGTCCTTGCAATTCTTTGAAGGGGGGTTGAACCCTAGGGGGTCGACCCCTGGAGATCTCCATTTATGGCAACCCATATTCCCTATGCAAAATTCTAGATAAATGGGTCATAAAGTGGGTAAAATGGATCGACGTTTGCTATCTTTGTGCTGGACTAGAATGATGATGGTACGGGAGAAAACGTGGATCGTATAGGTTTAGCGTTGAACGCGCACCGAGAAAGATGGACTGCCACTCATTTTGTTGGGACCCCCCCCACAATCCGAATTTTGAGGAATTTGGACCCAAATCGCTTTGGATTCGTGTTTTCTTGTTTTTTTTCTCGGTTTGTTTCCCAAGTTCAAAGTGGTTTAGAGTTTCGCCACGTCTCAAAGGTGTAGTTGGCTTTTCCATTCTAGGGGCTAGAAATTCCAGCAAACCCGCTTGCCATGAAGCCCTTGCTATGAACTTGGTGTGAACCATAGGCCAAAAACAAGAGGAGCCCGGGAACCCAAAAGCAAACCAGCCTCACTCCCCATGGCATGTGGATCCTGTTGTTTTCCGGCTCAAGGCTCCGAAGGCAAACCAAGATTTAAGTTGTTCACAGTTGGGAAATCAACCCCAAAACAGATGAAGAAGGGGAGCAACCGCGACTCAAGCCGGATTGGCAGCCAGCAGCCTGTGCTCTGACCAAGCACAGAGAAAAAGGCAAAGGCACGGGTGAAGCATGACAGGCCCCGCACTACATGGAAGGCACGAAGTCATCCGATTCATCATGAAGAACCAATCGCAGAAATCCGAAAATGGATCCGCACAAACTACCACTCCCAAATTGGAAGCAAGGCATAACCTCGCTCTACACCCATCTGAAACAAGTCTGAGACACCGTGTTACAACACGATCTGAGTAGACCGGGGTCAGCTGTTCGGATGTTCATGCGCCCTTTTGTTTGGGCCGAGTGTGCTCAGCATATTATGTCAACGTGCTTCCAGGCTGCTTCCAAATAAGTAGGGCGAACCCCAAGAGGCCACAGCTTCTGAAGAGAGGGTTCGTCCTAGAAACACATTGGCGCCATTTGTTCGGGTCAGGTGTGCGGCAAAAAGGACAATCTTGGCGCACCTGGAACGCCGGGCTGTTCACATGGAGCCGTGCACGTGGCCTTCACAAACTTGCTTCGTAAGCTTGCTTGGATTCGTTAGTTTCTCCACCTATTTTCCCATTCGCCACCAGTTGCAACTGGTGACTTTGTGGGAAGGGCCGCGCACGTTGTCAATTGGATGCGTGTGGATGGCAAGTTGGGTGGATTTGCCGCAGGTGTGTGGAGACGGGGCCGGCGCTGCGCTTTTGCTCAGGGCAAAACGGATGTGGTCACCACTAAGGGGCGGGCAGCAGATGGGATTAGACTAACCTTTGCAAACCCTTTTTGGGGTTCGCACAAGGGCTTCTAAGGGTTCGTGGCGATCCCCCCCATACACACAAACACGCAGACCCATACACACACACACATGCACACATACACACACACATGCACGCACACACACAGACACACAGACACACCAAGACACCGAGACACAGACACACATACACATGCATGTAGGTAACGCAATGTAATGCAATGTATTGAAATGTAGTGTAGTGTAGTGTAATGCATTGTAATGCAAAGTATGTATCTATGTAATGTTTGTATGTTTGTATGTATGTATGTATGTATGTATGTATGTATGTATGTATGCATGCATTCATGCATGCATGCATGCAATGTATGTATGTATGTATGTATGTATGTATGTATGCATGCATGCATGCATGCATGCATGCATGCATGCATGCATGCAATGTATGTATGTATGTATGTATGTATGTATGTATGTATGTATCTATGTATGTATGTATGTATGTATGTATGTATGTATGTAATGTATGTATGTATGTATGTATGTATGTATGTATGTATGTATGTATGTATGTATGTATGTATGTATGTATGTATGTATGTATGTGTATGTATGTATGTATGTATGTATGTATGTATGTATGTATGTATGTATGTATGTATGTATGTATGTATGTATGTATGTATGTATGTATGTATGTATGTATGTATGTATGTATGTATGTATGTATGTATGTATGTATATGTGTATGTATGTATGTATGTATGTATGTATGTATGTATGTATGTATGTATGTATGTATGTATGTATGTATGTATGTATGTATGTATGTATGTATGTATGTATGTATGTATGTATGTATGTATGTATGTATGTATGTATGTATGTATGTATGTATGTATGTATGTATGTATGTATGTATGTATGTATGTATGTATGTATGTATGTATGTATGTATGTATGTTTGTATGTATGTATGTATGTATGTATGTATGTATGTATGTATGTATGTATGTATGTATGTATGTATGTATGTATGTATGTATGTATGTATGTATGTATGTATGTATGTATGTATGTATGTATGTATGTATGTATGTATGTATGTATGTATGTATGTATGTATGTATGTATGTATGTATGTATGTATGTATGTATGTATGTATGTATGTATGTATGTATGTATGTATGTATGTAATGTATGTAATGTATGTATGTATGTATGTATGTATGTATGTATGTATGTATGTATGTATGTATGTATGTATGTATGTATGTATGTATGTATGTATGTAATGTGTATGTATGTATGTATGTATGTATGTATGTATGTATGTATGTATGTATGTATGTATGTATGTATGTATGTATGTATGTATGTATGTATGTATGTATGTATGTATGTATGTATGTATGTATGTATGTAATGTATGTATGTATGTATGTAATGTATGTATGTAATGTATGTATGTAGGTATGTAGGAAATGTATGTATGTATGAACATGTAATGTATGTATGTATGTAATGTATGTATGTATGTATGCATGCATGTATGTATGTATGTATGCATGCATGCATGCATGTATGTATGTATGTATGTATGTATGTTATGTATGTATGTGTGCGTATGTAGGTGTGTGTGTATGTACTGTATGTATGTGTGTATGTATGCACGCACGCACGCACGCATGCATGCATGCATGCATGCATGTATGTATGTATGTATGTATGATGATGTATGTATGTATACATGTATGCATGTATGTATGCATGTATGTATGTATGTATGTACTGTTGTATGTATGTATGTATGTATGTATGTATGTATGTATGCAATGTTGTATGTATGTAATGCAATGCAATGCATGCATTGCATTGCATTGTATGTATGTAATGTATGTATGTAATGCATGTTTGTAATGTATGTATGAATGTATGTATTTTTGTATGTAATGTATGTATGTATTTATGTATGTATGTATGTCAATGTATGCATGTACTTACGTACGCATGTGTGTACGCATGTACGTTTGTATGTATGTATGTATGAATGTGTGTATGTTATGTATGTATGTATGTATGTAATGTAATGTAGTTTAATTTAATGTAATGTAATGTATGTATGTATGTATGTAATCTGTGTATGTATGTAATGTAATGTAATGTAATGTAACGTAACGTAACGTAACGTAACGTAACGTAATGTAATGTATGTATGTATGTATGTATGTATGTATGTTATGTATGTAGGTAGGTATGTATGCAAGTATGTTATGTATGTATGTATGTACGTATGCATGCATATGTATGTATGTATGTATGTATGTATGTAGTGTACGTATGTATGTATGTATGCATGTATGTATGCATGCATGCATGTATGCTTGTATGTAGGTATGTGTATGTCTGCATGTATATTTGTATGTATGTAATGTAACGTAATGGAACGTAATGTAATGTATGTATGCATGTATGTAATGTATGTATGTATGCATGTATGCAATGTACTGTAATGCAATGCAATGCTATATTTATATATGTTTGTACGTATGTATGTAATGTAATGTAATGTCTGTATGTATGTAATGTAATGTATTGTATGTATTCAATGTATGTATGTATGTAATGTATGTATGTATGTAAATTATGTATGTATGTATGTGTGCATGCATGTACGTATGTACGTATGTATGTATGTAATGTATGTATGTATGTATGTATGTATGGATTTATGGATGTATGTATGTATGTAAATTATGTATGTATGTAAATGTATGTATGTATGTATGTAATGTATGTATGTATGTATGTATGTATGTATGTATGTATGTATGTATGTATGTATGTATGTATGTATGTATGTTATGTATATGTATGTGTATGTGTGTATGTAATGTATGTATGTAATGTAATGTAATGTAATGTAATGTAATGTAATGTAATGTAATGTATGTATGTATGTAATGTATGTAATGTAATGTGATGTGATGTAATGTATGTATGTAATGTATATGTATGTATGTATGTATGTATGTATATGTATGTATGTATGTATGTAATGTATGTATGTATGTATGTATGTATGTATGTATGTATGTATGTATGTGTAATGTATGTATGTATGTATGTATGTATGTATGTATGTATGTATGTAATGTAATGTATGTATGT